TCACTCGGCTCGTAGATCTCGTATATGGACTTCTTTTTGGCGGCCTTTTTGCGCGCGCGGCGCCGCGGCGCGTCCGGGTCGTCCTCCTCGATACCCTCGTCGTCAGCGTCGCTCTCCTCCTCCACGCCGTACTTGTCAAACTCGTCAAAGTCGAAGTCGACGCCGAAAATGTCCTGCGCCTCCTGCAGGGCCCTGCCGGTCGCCAGAGCAGGGTCGCCAGAGCAGGGTCGCCAGAGCAGGGTCAGCCAGAGCAGGGTCAGCCAGAGCAGGGTCAGCCAGAGCAGGGTCAGCCAGGTCATGTGTACAGAACTGAGTCAATCCGCGCGACTTCTCACAATCACACAACACTGGTCTTCGTTGTAACAGGCGCCCTCGGGAAACATGATGACGCGATGAGGAACACAGAAAATATAATAACACAAGATAGGAACAGCAAACCGTTACTATTGTGCACTGATCAGCCCGGATATCATAAAAGTCCATTTATGAAATAAAACATGAGCTCGCAAGACTTACGCGTCGGCGAAGATGTGTTTTTTCTTCTTGGGTCCTTTGGAGAGCGGCTTTCCGTCCTCGTCGACCAGAAAGTCGTCGACGTCCTCCTCGTCCTCGACCTCCTCGTCGTCGGGCTCGGCGCCCTCGCCGCCGGCCGAGCGCTCCTCGTGGTCGGCCGGCTCGCGGCCCTCCGACGACGGCCGCTCCTCCTGCACACGGGGCGGCCGGAGAGCGAGTCAGGCCGGGCCGAGCGCGGGCGCCGGGCGTCGGCACAACCTCAGCACAATCGGCACCCGCGGGCACCAAACAGGAGCACTCCGAACGCCGCACTCATGGCGAAAAGTGTGGCTTTTATACACTACTTTAATAAATTTATTGATATATTGCCCTACCCTTACAGGCTTACAGTCTGAGACGACGGACGCTCATGGAATGTCTATTTGTACTCAGCATAGAGAAGGACTATTGAGTGAATAATGCGAAGAGTAATTCCCTGTACGACTCACATCCCCAGAGTCGTCGCGCTCTTTGCCTCCTTCGTCAGAGTCAGAGTCCGAGATGCGACGAATCCGCTTCAGTTGTTGTTTCTGAAATCACACGCAGATCAGTGATACGAGTGCAACTTAGTAGGCACTCCACTTTGTGCTTTGTATTGTAGCCGTTAAATTGCAATACAAAAAGAGCTGAAAAGGAAAGCATTTCACGAAAAGCCAGCGGCGCAATACGACGAACATCTGACACCCAGCCTATTCACCAGTCGATTAGTCTACATAGTCGATTAGTCTGGCTGACTCACGCGCGACACTTTGACGCCCAGGTTCTCCTCGATGAGGTCGTAGTCGTCGTCCTCTAGGCCGTCGTCGAGGTCGTCCTCGCGCGATCGTTTGCGGGCGCCGCGTCCGTCGCCGCCGGCGCGCTCGTCGCCCGAGCCGTCGCCGTCCGAGCTGCTGCTGTCGTCGCCGTCCTCCTCCTCGATCGGGTTATCGTCGATCAGGTCCTTCATCTCCTCGCGCATCGCCTCCTCGTCATCTGCCGGCGTCGGGGACCGTTACAGCGGGGAGGGGGGGGGGGGCTCCTCGTCATCTGCCGGCGCCGGGGACGGTTACAGGGGAGCCCCACAGCATCATCTGCCAACGCCGGGGACCGTTACAGGGGAGCCTCACAGCATCATCTGACGGCGCCGGGGACGGTTACCGGGGAACCATGCATCGCCTCCTGCTGGCACAGCTATCCTGTCTGAATAAGGAGCATTCGTTCACATACACATCCATAGTTAAGACCCTGAATTAAATTGAAGTCATCCAATGCTAAAAAGCTGAATGAGGTGTTATTGACCATCTTACATCCAACATCTGAAAAGAAGCAGGCATACAAGACAGGGGTAGTTTACCTTCTTCCTCCTCTGAGGAGTCTTGCAGTCTGTTTTTGTTCATTTTCTTCAGTTTCTTTTTCTCGCCGGAGGTGAGTTCCTCCTCATCCTCACTCTCTGACGCCTCTGAGTCGATAAACTCAGACATGGCGGCGGTTGGGGCTGGGGAAAGGAGACCAGCTGTGAGTACAGCTCCCTGCAGCATGCTGAATGGCACTGCAGCACACACTTCACACATCGAGCCTGAGGGTTGTCATACAGCAGAGTTCACATTGCAGCATCAGCCCTTATCAAATGGGTGTACAACAGGCACATTACCAGGCCTAAACAATGCTTACCTCAAGGAACTATTAGTAGAAATTGCCTAGTTAGTCATGATAATGATAAGTGACAGCAAATTCTTCATTTTTAAGAACAATAGAAAATTTTATGATGTTTGGAATGAACCACATTCAAGCAGCACTTGCCACTTGAATAGTAAACTGAGGAAAAAAGTTGTTTGGAACTGAAAAAAAAAACATTTACCATTCCTGAATTCTGCATCAAATGAAGATCCAAACCCCTGCACCCAGGAAAAAGTATCATCTATTTCCCACCCAGGAAAAAGCTTCTATATTAATTCCAACATATATAATTATTCTATATTAATTCTATATTAATTCCAAAGAATTAATGTAATGCTATTATTGAGATCATGGATAGCCAATTAAAAAACAGGCAGGTGTATGACTTGACAAGGAAAAAAGCTATAAAAAAGTGTGCCTTTGCACAGGCCTCATGCCTTTCTAAATATAGGTACAGGCAGTAAATTAGCTAGGTAATATTTAATCAGATACTTGCTCCTGGGAATAATGCATGTTTCACGGCATGTAAGAATCTATGCATTCATTGATATCTGCAATGTATTTTCTCTTTGCTGCTGCACCACATTCCCACCTAGGGCCCTGTTTCACAAACCCCATTGTATGATACCACAGGATCTACCAGGTTTCTAATTTCTGTGGTAGGTAGGTAATGCAATCAGAATCACCAATTTTTGCTTAAATTTCCATAAAATTTAGTGTTAATACCTGATGCTTCAATACCTGATAGGCAATAGCATCAGGTTGAATCATGCGCTGAAAGAGGGCCCAAGCAAGTCATGCAGTATGCAGTGCACAGTCACACATTCAGTTCATGCCATTCTTTGTCCATGCGACAGAGCCATCCATTCTAGACACCCTGCAGGAACATGTTGACGCAACAGCAGCTCTGCATATTGTCACCAATCCCAATCCCAAGAACACAGACCAGTTTTACCAACAGAAAATAACCACCTGCTGGAATTTTTTGCCTAAAGACCGCTTCACATACAGAGTGTGAGAGTGTGAGCCGTAAAGCCCGATCCGCTTACGTACCCATCTCGTTTACGCTCTGTATGAGAAGACTTTTACCGCAGTCTTATGCAAAAAAAAAAATCTGGCAGGCAGCTATTTTTCTGTTAGTAAAACTGGCCTCTGATCCACGCTGCAAGCCAGCCAACTCTGGAGTGAATAAGACTAATCTAAGTTCAGCCCCCAAACTCAAACTACAGAAACTTGAAAGCCCGTCAAAACTCTTAGGAACTGCCCCTTGGTCCACTTCCTTTGCTATCGAAAAAAAATGCATTTCAAACAAGCACATTTAAAACTCTTGCTTTACCTCGCCGCGCCTTCAATAAGATGGAGAAATTGAAATAAAACACGCGAACACACACAGACTGCGCGGAGAGGCAAACGGCAAACGACAAACGGCAACAGCGGCAACATGAAGCAAATGAAACGCACTGGAATCAAGGATTGCGAAATAAGGTCTTTGTGAAACTTACTAAGTAACTGCAAAAAAGGTAAAAAACAAAGCCTTAGCTCCAACTTGAATTTTTCTTTTTCTTTTGATGAAAAAAGAGTTTTCGAAGATGAACAAAATATATAAAGCCCATAAATGATCGGAAAACAAAACATTTAGTTGACATGTTGATGAAAAGTGGTAGGTCGACTGAATAAATGCAGCAAAGACATAAAGACCTTTATCACCATGGATACTCTAAATCGTCATTTATCGTAAATTGTTAATCGTTTATCGTTGAATTAATATGAAGTCAAAATTTGACATATTTTAATTAATGTGTCAAATTTTTACTTGTTAACGATACGACTTAAAGGAAATAGTTCACTTTTTAACATGGGTTTTGAACTGGAATAGCAGTTCCGTAGCTTGGGCTGAGACGAGCATAAATCAGGAGCTTTTACAGCCCAACGATCACCCTAGGCAAAGATATTCTATTTCTCGTCCCGAAAAAGGTGTCTTGCGTTGAGGATGTGTGCCTTGCATATATTTCCATCCAGTATGAAAAGAGCATGGGTCCCGAAAATTCTTCAGAAACTAGAGAAATTATCTACGAGAACTTTGAGAAATTCTCGTACTGATCAATTAGGACATTCAGGGGAACATTATCAGATCGAGCAGATCGCCCAAATGCCGGTGGCTGCGATAATTTCTCTGTTTCTGAAGAATTTTCGGGACCCATGCTCTTTTCATACTGGATCGCGTGTGCCTTACAGAAACTGAAAAGTTCTTCCTATATCAAAATATAGAAAATAATATTTTGTTATAAAAAGGTTTTATTTTCTTTGCTGATTATTTTGAACATAAAAAATCATAAATCCGTTGCAAAAAAAATAATTTCGTGAAAGTGAACTATTTCCTTTAACGATAAACAATTTGCGATAAATAACGATTTAGAGTAACGATAAACGAAAGGTCTTTGCTGCATTTATACAGTCATTTGGTTGACAGCTTATGTTCAAATTGAAAAAAAGCCAAATATCTATATGATATACTATTTGTTTGGTATCATTTGTAATGCCATGTCTGCCATATCACCATTTCTCGGTACTAGTCGGTTGCGCCGATCATTTTTTCAAAGAAAAAATGATAAAACGTGATGTGTTTCAAACCTAAACTAGTTATTGAGTCAATAGATAATTGACAATTATATGACGCGGCCGTCAATATAATTGACGTATCCATCGATAAAACGAGTGTTTTATAATTACCTGCCCTGAGTGCGCAGATTTGAGTACTAAGCGCCATCTGAGCCGCCGCGCGCGCGTGTGGGGGAGTTCGTTGTCGATTGATATTCAACGAGAGTCAGAGCGGGATAAGTGCATTAGTATTATTTTCTGTAAGTTTATTTTATTTTGAGACCACATAACACTTTTTTCATCTTCAGCTCACTTGTTGAGGTAAGCTTGTGTATCAATATAACGTTTCACGGTTTGGTTTCATTGGTTCGTGATAAACCGACAGATTGATAAATTTGTCCCGTTTCAGTTTTGAATTTTGACCGGTTTCCGATTTTTATTAAAATGGTCTTTTATGGTGTAGGTTTGAAGCTGGGTAGGGTAAAATCCATGGTATTAGGGTGAAATGGATTTTTCAACTCAAGGTTTGCCACTTATGCTCTGTTACCAGTTACTGTGGCTTTGAGCTCAAAGTTTTAAGTTCAGAGGAGAGTTTTACCAACAGAAAAATAGCTGCCTGCCGGAATTTTTTGCCTGAACACCCCTTCACATACAGAGTGAAATGGTAAAGCCCTATTACATGCCCTATGCTGTCGCGTTTACGCTATGTATGTGAAGCGGTCTAGCCAAAAAATTCTGGCAGGCGGCTATTTTTCTGTTGGAAAAGCAGGCCTCAGAAGTTAATTTTTGTTTCAATTTTATGAACCTGTGTCACTGTTACCAATTCATGGTTGTTGTTTTTTATCTGAAGGATGCTAGCTTGGCTTGCTCACATTTCTTGGCTTTTTATGGGTGAACTTCACTTGGTCCATGCAGCATGACCAATGAGAGGTCAAGAAACACCAGCAATGAATTTCCATTTATGAAAACTAGCAATGTGCTGATATGAACAGTAACCAGCTCCCCTGTTTAGGTGACTTGAAATATTAAGTGCTTGATTTGAATCTCTACCAGTATGAAAACTGAGCAGAAACCATGAACTATTGGCCATGGCCCATGGGCCATAAATAAAGTCAACTCATAAGTCATAATTTCAGCTCATTCTTTAAACACTTGATCCAATTACAGGTTTTAGAAGCAAAATAGCGATACTAAAGCAGCATTAAGAAAATAATCATTCTGAGTTACCCAGTGTCCCAAAATTGAGTTTTGTCTGGGGTGTCAGAGGGGAAAATTACCCACCAAAAAGAGGGGAGAGAGTGGAAAACTGCTGATTTGATTAGATCCAAAAAGAGTGAGAAACGCCATAAAACATGGATTTTATTCTAGGATGTAGAATGTTTGATGCTAAACCGGGCATTCACACAACCGCTCTTTCTAGAGGTAAAAAATCTAGGTTTTCTTGGTTGGGAGTGGAAAATTGTTCTTAAAAAAATTGGTGGTGAGAGTGGAAAATGGATTTCCTTTGGATGTCATTTCCCACCCAAATCGACAAATTTTGGGACATTGGAGTTACCTATGGAAAGGGTTGTTAATTATCCAGCATCACCATCTAGCTAGTATCTTTAATCAAGTAATTTGGTTGAGGATTTGTTTATTTCAGGTCAAATCAAAGTTATTAAAACATGGCAAGTAGTTTTTCACAGTGCTAATACTATCTACACAGTGTAGGAATTTAACCATACAATATTATTTTTTAATAGGGCTGCTGCTTTGAACAGTCTTAAGATGTTAAGCTTATTATTTCATGTGAAACCAGTCAGCTGCAAGTGTAAGAAAGGTTGTCTATAATAACATCAGGTTCAGATGCTTGTGCCTTATAAATAAGATCCGAATTGAACAAGTTTTCTCACTTAGAGCTTGAAATTCAGATCACTACTAGTGTAGTTGCCAAGTTAAGCCAAGTAAAACATCAGCTGTCAGTATTGAAGAAGTAGCTATTATTCTCTGTGATGGATGTGCAGATTTCTAGTCACTCCAACGGCCACTGCAAATAGACAGATTATGTCTTGCAGGCACGTCCGTCGTCCACTCAATAATCTGAAGATATGTCAATTAACATGCCACGCTGCCCCCATCCAGTAGGTGAGTCCATTTGATTCGCTGCTGTGCTGTGCTGTGCTGTCGGTCTGGCAGCTGACGCCGCCCGGCGCTGTTCCAGGCGGCGCGCGATGCCGGCCAGCCCGGCGGTGAGTATGTCGTTCTCGGGCGGGCGGCCGCTGGCGCCGGCCGGTGCCGGCCTCCAGGAGGCGCTGTCGGCCGCCGGTGCCACGCTGGAGCGCCTGCTGGCGGCCGACACGCAGTTCCCCAGCCTGGCCGACCGGCTGCGCATCGGCAGCCAGCCGTGCCCGACCGTCAGTGGCCTGCACGAGGCCGACTACCCGAGCCTGGGCGCCGCCGGCGGCCGCGGCGGGCTCGGCCTGCGCCAGATCAGCGCCGGCAAAAAGGTGCCGCTGCCCGCCGAACTGGTGGAACACTTCAACCACCTGCAGTGCAACTGCATGATGGGCCTGTTCCCCGAGCTGGACCGCGCCTGGCTCACCATCGACAACGACATCTACGTGTGGCTCTTCGAGACGGGCGCCAACCTGGCCTACTACGACGGCCTCAGCGAGACGATCCTGGCCGTGGGCCTGGTGCGGCCGCGGCCGGGCGTCTTCCAGGCGCACATCCAGCACCTGCTCTGCCTGGCCACGCCGCTCGAGATCGTGCTGCTCGGCGTGACCATGTCGCGGCCGGCGGCGCCCGGCGGTCCGGCCGAGATGCACGTGCTGCCCGAGCCGCTGTTCTCGATCGCCAGCGACGGCGCGTACGTGACGACGGTGGTGGGCACGCCGTCCGGCCGCGTCTTCCTGGGCGCCAAGGACGGCTGCCTGTACGAGCTCGTCTACCAGGCCACCGAGAGCTGGTTCTCGCGCCGCTGCCGCAAGATTAACCACTCGTCGAGCGCGCTGTCGGTGCTCGTGCCGACGTTCCTGTCCGCCGCCTTCTCGGACGAGGACCCGCTGCTGCAGCTGCAGGTGGACGCCTCCCGCAACGTGCTCTACACACGCTCCGAGAAGGGCACCGTCCAGGTGTACGACCTCGGCGACGACGGCCAGCAGACGGTGCGCGTGGCGGCGCTGTCGCAGTTCTCGATCGTGCAGGCGGCCGAGGGGGTGGCGCGCACGGTGGACCCGTCCAACTTCCGGCCGGTGCTGGACATATCGCCGGTGACGGCCGCCGAGTCGGCGCACGTCCAGCTGGTGGTCACCACGGGCGCCGGCGTGCGGCTCTACTTCAGCACGGCGCCGACGGCCGGCGGCCGGCCCACCTCGCTGCAGCTGCGCCACATCCGGCTGCCGCCCGGGTTCGCGGCCAACGCCACCCAGCGGCCGGCGGCGCTGCACATGGCGCGCTACTCGGACGGCACGGCGCTGCTGGTGGCCGCCCAGTCCGAGGAGCTGGACGTGCTCTGGCTGCTCAGCGGCGACGCCTTCCCGGCGGCCGGCCAGCTGACCGAGCTGCAGAGCACGCTGGCGCTCGACTGGCACACGTGGGCGCTGCAGCCGCTGCCGGAGCGGCCGCTGGTGCGCTGCGAGCCGGCCGGCGCGCCGCGCCCGCCGCTGGTGGTCACTCAGCACGCGCGCCTGCCGCGCCGCTACGTGGCGCTTTCGACGCGCGGCGTGCAGGTGTTGGAGCAGCTGCGGCCCGTGGACCAGCTGCGCGCGCTGCTCGAGGACGCCGGCCGGCCCGACTCGGACGCCGTGCGCGCCTTCTTCACGCTGCATACGGAGGCGCAGGCGTGCGCCACGTGTCTGATCCTGGCGTGCTCGGACGCGCCGCAGGACGCCCAGCTGGCGGCCTGGGCGGAGCGCGCCTTCCTGCTGTACGGCGGCGAGCCGCAGGTGGTGGCGCCGCCGGCCGGCGCCGGTCACCCGGCCTCGCCGCACTCGACCAGCCTGCTGGGCGCCAGCTTCCACCCGCAGCAGGTGTCGACGCCGCAGCCGAGCCGGCCGGCGCCGTTCGCGGCCGGCTCGCCGCCGCTGGCGCTCTCGGCGGCCGTCTCTCCGGACACGTCGCTGGCGGCGGCGCCGGCCGAGGTGCTGTTCTCGGGTAAACACGACGGCCTGTACCTGTACGCGGCGCGCCTGCTGCGGCCCGTCTGGGCGAGCCGCGTGGTGCGCGAGTTCTCGCCTCGGCCGGGCCAGGTGCACCTGGTGTCGGCGGCCAGCTCGGAGGAGCTGGGCTGGCTGAGCGGCCAGCTGGAGCTGCTCAGCCGGCTGCTGCAGCGCCACTCGCCGCTGCAGCCGCCGTTCGCCGACACGGTGAGCACGCAGCAGCTGCAGCAGCGCATGAACTCGTACCTGGAGCAGGACGAGGCCGGCCGGATGGCGGCCGGCCGCGGCCACCACCTGCATCACCAGCAGGCGCTGCAGGCCGAGCGACAGAGCCTGCTCCACCTGCGCGAGCTGATCGCCTACACCAGACAGGTACGACGACGCTGCAGAATCATTGCGGGGAATGTGTGCTTTGACTAACTCAATTTACTTGAAGTTCTTAATTTCATCTTCTCAGTAAATATGTTCCTAGTTAAACGTACGAAGTGTAAGGAGTTTGATTTATTTTTGTGAAGATTGTGGCAGTCTTTATTTACCTTTTCTGCTTGTGCCGAAGAAGCAATAGTTTATTTGACAATTATCCTTTCTTGTGTAACCCGGAGCGTTGACGGTAGTTTTCCCCCTCTGTTTGGCAGGTGCTGGGACTGGTGAAGATTGTCACCGACCACCAGACGCACGTGGTGACGGAGGCGCTGAGCAGGGAGGACCAGTCGGCGCTGCGGCTCATGACGTTCCGCGACCTCACGCTGTCGGGCCGCACCATGTGCACGCAGCTGATCGCCGCGCTCATCGGACGCTACCTGAGCGACAACGGCAGCACGGAGGCCGTGTCGGCGCAGCTGCGCGCTCTGGCGCCGGCCGTCTTCAGGGAGGAGGACGCCATCAGCTCGCAGGCCAGCGAGAAACTGATGGCCGCGCGCAACGCCAGCTCGCCGTCCGAGCGGCAGCGGCTGCTGGGCGAGGCGCTGGCGCTGGCCAAGCGTGTGGCGGGCCAGCTGCAGTTGGCGGCCGTCTGCCAGCAGTTTCAGGCGGCGCACGACTACGAGGGTGTCGTGGAGCTGGTGCTGGCCGCCGCCGAGAAACGAGACCCCCAGGAGGTGGCGCTGCACTACTACCGCAACGGAGAGCCGGCCGAGGACCTGCAGGGCCGCCAGGCGTTCCGCGAGCGCGACGAGTGCTACACGGTGGTGCTGGAGATGCTGTCGGCGCTGGTGCGCGCCTCGCACGGCCAGCGTCAGTCGCCGGTGCCGGCGCGGCCGGGCGCGCCGCCGGCCGCCGAGCCGGCCGACCAGCCGCAGCAGGCGCAGCGCCAGGCAGAGCGCGTCATCGACGCCGTGCTCAAGTCGCGCGACGAGCTGCTGCACGTGGCCGTCTACAACTGGATGGTGGTGGAAGGCATGTCGGAGCGGCTGCTGCAGGTCAGGTCCCCGTACATCGAGCCGTTCCTGACGCGCAGCTCGGGCGCCGCGCCCGGCGTCCAGATGCTCGACCTGCTCTGGAAGCACTACGAGCGCAGCGGCAACCACCTGGCGGCGGCCAAGGTGCTGGCCAAGCTGGCCGAGCGGCACGGCACCGACGTGGACCTGGCGCGGCGCATCGAGTACCTGGCGCGCGCCGTGCTCTGCGTCAAGTCGAGCCAGATGCAGGTGGCGGCGGCCGCCTCGCAGGGCGAGTTCCTGCACGAGCTGGAGGAGAAGGTGGAGGTGGCGCGCGTGCAGTGGCGCGTGCTGGAGGCGGCGCGCGGCCGCTCGCCAGAGGCCGAGACCCGGCTCAACGCCGACCTGCTGGACGTGACGGCGCTGTACAGTCTGTGCGAGCGGCTGGGCCTGGCGCGCTGCCAGCTGGCCATTGTGGTGTGCGCCGGCCACCGGGACGCGGCGCTGGTGCGCGACCTGTGGCGACGGCTGCTGGCGGCGCTGCTGCAGCAGGCCGGCTCGGCGGAGGCGGCGGCGCCGGCCGTCACCGAGCTGGCGCGCGAGTACCGCGGCCAGCCGGCCTACTGTCCGCTGGACACCATCGTCCGACACCTGGAGGAGCACTCGTGCCGGCACTCGATGACGCCTCCCGAGTGGGCGGCCGCCGCGCTGGCCGAGGCGGGCGTGTCGCTGCCCGAGCTGCTCTCTGTGTACCAGGTGAGACCGAGCCGCCGGGCCGGACGGAACCAGTAATAACTAGTGGCTGTGCGCTGAGGCTGGGGTGGCACGCTGTAGACCGTGTTTCAGTCGCTCGCGTCGGTGGAAATTGTAGGGTACTCACCTATGTCCTATGCTGAAGTCGCCATTCAATTGTTAAATCTTTGTAAAAAGTCCCTCAGTGGACTTAATGTTGTGACTATTTTGTGAACTGTGTTTCAGTCGCTGTACGGCCATGATGACCCGGTGTATACTGTGTTTCAGTCGCTGTACAGCCAGGATGGCCCGGTGTGGACTGTGTTTCAGTCGCTGTACAGCCAGGATGACCCCCTGTGGACTGTGTTTCAGTCGCTGTACAGCCAGGATGACCCCCTTTGTACTGTGTTTCAGTCGCTGTACAGCCAGGATGACCCGGTGTGAACTGTGTTTCAGTCGCTGTACAGCCAGGATGACCCGGTGTGGACTGTGTTTCAGTCGCTGTACAGCCAGGATGACCATAGGGCTGTTCATGGGCCCTGTGTGCGGTCGGACCGCACACAGCCTCGAGGCTCCGCCCATCCCCACAGCCGGGCGACCATCATCCCCATCTTGAAGGCCGGCAAAGACCCCAAACAAGTGGGCAGCTACCGCCCGATCGCGCTCTTGAGTCACATCGCCAAGCTAGCGGAGCGGATGATCGCGGCCCGGACGACCTACCTCATCGAGCGAGACCGACTGGTGCCCCTCGAACAGGTCGGGTTCCGCCGCGGGAGGTCGGCGGAGGACAGTCTGGCCCGCTTGGTCCAAACCGTTCAAGATGGCTGGAATCGCCCCAAGCCGAGACGAGGCCCGGAGGATGGCGTGGCGGCGGTCCGCTTTGTCCTCCTGGCGTTCGACTTCTCCCGTGCCTATGACACGATCGATCACCGGATGTTACACCTGAAACTCCTCAAGCTCCTCCCCAGATGTCTCGCGACCTGGATATTCCGGTTCCTTCGCGACAGGCGGGCCCGCGTAGAGGTCAACGGCGCGCACAGCAGCGAGCGCGTGTTCCGCGCGGGCCTGCCGCAGGGCTCGGTCCTGGCACCGACCATCTACACGCTCTGGGCGGCGGACCTTATCGAGACCCTGCGGAACGCCTCGGACCGCACGGACGTCCTGATGTATGCGGACGACACGGCCACACTGAGCGCTGGAGCCACCGTAGAGCTCGCGGTGGCTCGCGCCCAGAAGTCGGCCGACGCCCTGGCCCGATGGGCAAGGCACTGGAAGATGTCCATCGCCGGACAGAAGACCCAGGCGCTGCTGCTGACTCAGCGGAGCAGGGACGAGCGTGGCGTGCAACTCCTGGTGAACGGCACGCAGGTCACCAGTGGCACCAGCCTACATCTTCTGGGGGTGACCTTCGACAGACTTCTACATTTTAAAGACCACTACGACTCTCTGCGGCGGAAGGTCCGGCCGCGGACGGCACAGCTGCGGAGGATGACCGGCCGGACCTGGGGTCTCCGCGAGGCGCAGCTCAGGACAGTCGCGAACGGGTATGTCCGGGGACCCCTTGAATACGCGGCGGGTGCCTGGCTCCCGGCCGCGTCCCCGTCACACGTTCAGCTGGTGGAGCGCGAGCTGCTGGCGGCCGCCCGGGTGGTGACCGGATGCCCACGGTCCACCCCCAGGGATTCCCTGCTGGCCGAGGCAGGCATCCCTTCAGCATGGTCCACCAGGAAGACGCTGGCCGCGCGAACGCTCTGCCGAGCGCTCGCCCTGCCGGAGGACGACCCTCTTCGCCGCGTCGCGGAGGCCGACCCACCCACTCGACTGCGGTCTACCACCGGCTGGCGACAACTGGGGCGATCGGCGCTGATCGAGGCGGGCGCCGAGGGAGTGACGGTGGAGTCGCGCCTCGAGGTTCCCCTCCTCCCGTGGACAACCTGCCGCCCGATCGCCTTCAATCTGGACGTGGGACCCGGCGGTCGTTGAGCCTCCTCCAACGAGACGCGACGAGAGGCCGCGCGGCAGCACCTGGCGGCGCTCCCAGCCCAGGCCACGTGGATTTGGTCCGACGGCTCTGCGGACGCTGGGGTCAGGCGAGGAGGGGGCGGCGCCGTCATCTTTACCGCGTCGGGGGAGACTCTCGAGGTGGAGGTGGCGGCGGGAGGCCTCTGCTCCAGCACCCGTGCGGAGCTGTTCGCCCTGAGGGCGGCGCTGGAGCGAGTCCGGGATGAGCCGTCCCCCGCCCCGCTGGTGGCGTGCTCTGACTCACGAGCCGCCCTGAGCCTCCTCAGCGCGGGAGCGGCCGCCCAGACCACCACTATCGGCGCGGCGATCTGGAGGACGCTGCTGGACATTGCCGAGCGCCGGCAGGTGACCCTGCAGTGGGTCCCTGCTCACTGCGGGCTGGCGGAGAACGAGCGTGCTGACGCCCTGGCCAAACAAGCGGCCACCCTGCCCCAGGGCGCCGTGCCCTCGGACGCTCGGTCCCTGACACGGGCAGTTCATCGGACGGCCACACGTCAGTGGCGCGAAAACTGGCCCGACTCCTTTTTTAAGACTATCTTCGGGAGCACCCTGCCGCTCCCCATCCCCGGAGAGGACCGAGAGGCCGCCATCTCGGTGCACCAGTTGAGGGCGGGCCACTGGGGCCGCTCGCTCCAATACCTGCACCGGATCGGCCGCCACCCCTCCGTGGCATGCCTGCAGTGCCCCGATAAGCGGTGCCCCGCGGCGCTCTGCGCCGTGTGCCGGGAGGAGGCGGACGTGCCGGAGCACGTCTTGCTCCGCTGCCCGGCCCTCGCTGGCGCCCGCCTGCGGCTAACTGGCAGCATTTACGTCGACCCGTCGCGGCTGCGGGACGCTGACCTGGTGGCTGCCTTGGAGGCCGGCTACCTTCGCCATAGGGAGCCTCTCGGCTATGGTCCTCCGTAAGGAGGTCCCAGGGGGAACAACAACAACAACAACAACAGGCTCCGCCCACTGCGTCCCTACGTCAGCCTTCCGTCACCGCACACAGCGATCGCTGTGGCCGGTCGGGACTGGCCACAGCGGACCGTCCACCGCACGCAGCCGTGACGTCAGAACCGCCTACCCATCCCCTACCCCCACGCTTGCTGGACGCACCGCACACACCGCACGCAGCAGTGTGCGGTGCCCGTGAACACCCCTCCGGTGTGGACTGTGTTTCAGTCGCTGTACAGCCAGGATGACCCGGTGTGAACTGTGTTTCAGTCGCTGTACAGCCAGGATGACCCGGTGTGGACTGTGTTTCAGTCGCTGTACAGCCAGGATGGCCCGGTGTATACTGTGTTTCAGTCGCTGTACAGCCAGGATGACCCGGTGTGAACTGTGTTTCAGTCGCTGTACGGCCATGATGACCCGGTGTATACTGTGTTTCAGTCGCTGTACAGCCAGGATGGCCCGGTGTGGACTGTGTTTCAGTCGCTGTACAGCCAGGATGGCCCGGTGTGGACTGTGTTTCAGTCGCTGTACAGCCAGGATGACCCGGTGTGAACTGTGTTTCAGTCGCTGTACAGCCAGGATGACCCGGTGTGGACTGTGTTTTAGTCGCTGTACAGCCAGGATAACCCGGTGTGAACTGTGTTTCAGTCGCTGTACAGCCAGGATGACCCTCTGTGTACTGTGTTTCAGTCGCTGTACAGCCAGGATGACCCGGTGTGGACGGACCTGCGCCGACCGCAGCACCTCCTCCAGGCCATTCACTGGATCATTTCCCGGTTCAGCGAGCGGCCGGACTTGGTTGCCGCCAGAGAAAGGTACGGTAACACCCGGCAGGACTCATTGGCCGCCAGAGACAGGTACGATAACCCCCGGCCGGACGCCGTGGCACATACGGACCGCTCCCAACACCAGAGACAGGTACCTACATACGGACCTCTCCCAACACCAGAGACAGGTACACTCGGGGGCAGATTGATGTTCCACAACTCCCCACCTATCGGGCTCCCATGGCTCAGCACTGGCTGCTGCCAGTGGCAGCACTGGCAGCACTGGCACTGGCAGGCAGTGCTGACCAGTGCTGAGGGCAGGCAACACTGGCAGCAGCCAGTGCTGAGACATGGGAGCCCGATGGGTAGGGAGTGGTGGAACATCAATCTGCCCCCGAGTGTACCTACATACGGACCTCTCCCAACACCAGAGACGGTACCTACATACGGACCGCTCCGAACACCAGAGACGGTACATAGTACGGACCGCTCCCAACACCAGAGACGGTACATACGGACCGCTTCCAACACCAGAGACGGTACATACGGACCGCTCCCAACACCAGAGACGGTACATACGGACCGCTCCCAACACCAGAGACAGGTGCAGACCGCTCCCAACACCAGAGACGGTACATACGGACCGCTCCCAACACCAGAGACGGTACATACGGACCTCTCCCAACACCAGAGACAGGTACCTACATACGGACCGCTCCCAACACCAGAGACGGCACATACGGACCGCTCTAAACACCAGAGACAAGCTCAGACCGCCCCCGGTCGGAGCACAAACGCCCAGGCCACACTAATCTGGCGTGAAATACTATTATTTTTATCGGTTTCTGTTTCTCTCAGAGTGCTGCTGAGCTCACTGATCGTTTCCGTCAGACTCTGTCTGTATCGCTAATTTGTGCCGCGTGGGTACCATCCCGCCACTGTGTGTCTGGAGCGCAGGTGGCGCCCGGCGGCCCGGCTGAATGTCTCCCCCCGCAGCCGTAATCGCTGTGCGATAGGCGCCCCGTGGCTATCGCGTTTCCGTCCGGTGTTCCTGCCGTACCTGGATGACTAAGCAGTTTTTAGGAGCCGCGAGGGATTTTAGGAAGTACTCTGGCTTAGAGTGATAGACTGATGGGCACTGATGCAAGCTTACTGGTAAGTTTTCCCCGTTTCTTGGCATAGTTATATATTTTAGTGTAGGTACAGGTCTCGCGGGTTTTAACGGTAGGTTTTGCACCTAGAAAATTTAGTGTACTTCAGGCTTTATCTTCGTCGTCTCAAACTTTTAAGTGTTGAAGATGCGATCGACTTGTTGGTTCACGAGCCGGCCATGATCGTGTAAACTGGCTTCATCGTAGATCGATTAGTTTCTGAGATATAGCCGAAAATGTAAAAGTGCAAAACCTACCGCTTAATCTCGCGAGAGCCGTACGTTGGACGACTCGACGCTTGTATGTCGGTGGCCGATCGACTCAGATCCATCGAGCTCTGTTTGTATTTAATCCAACGCTCTCGCGGGGTGCGGATGCTTTCTCTTTACTCACTGTTTGCCAATCTTCCGCATGTGTTCCGTAATCTATTGACGGAATCTGCTTCCACCATCTACCACGTGTGAAGGTAAAATGCTACAAACCTCCAGTGCGAACACATGCCGGGACTAGCGCTACTCAGTACTCGATATGCAGTGCTAGTTTCATGTTTTGTGACGGTGTAGCTATGGTCCACGCAATAGCACGTGCAGCTGTGTATTTACGGCACGTGTAGCTATGTATTTACGAGACATATATAACATGAATCCAACATACATCAATAATCGTGTCTCCGCATTCCGCACATCCGAGCACTGATCCACAGCCTCCCAGCTGCCTACATATGTAGTTGAGTTCAGCTGGAACGTTAAATAATGTAAAAGTAAATAGGTACTACAGTTATTCCCCTGCGAAGTACGAACACCAATGACTGTGTGTCATAACGACCTCAGCTACGGCTGATTTCGCCAGACTTTTACCAAGCAATGCCGCCGGTCCCGACTCAAATCACGCCGATGGTCACTGCCCCACTGGCTCGGAGCGGGCGAATGGTCACTGCCCCCGGAGGGCCCGTACGGTCGACTGTGGGTACCGAGCCAGGTCCGCTCGGTTAGGACAGGGAGGCCGCGACACGGACGTTGCCGCGACACTGAGCCCGTCAGCTCCCGGAGTACCCGCGCCTCTGTGCCCGTCAGTCATCCGCTGCTGAATCCGCTGGCGGAGTGTGCCGGGCGCAGCGTCCGTCACTGCTTCCCCAACCCCCGGATGGCGGGCACTGATTGTCCAACAGTCTGACGGTGGTCCCTGTTTGCGGAACACCCTGGGTATCGGAGGCGGCGCTGCTCCGTCACTGTTTCTGGAAGACCCTGGGTATCGGAGGGGGTGCTGCTGCGTCACTGTTTCTGGAAGACCCGGACGGCGGTCACTCCGTCCAGTTTCATGGTGACAGTGAGCTGCGAGTCGGTGAAGTGGCGCACCACCTCTGGCTGTTTGCCCTCGCCGGAGCGGCGCTCCAGCAGCGTGTCGCCCTGTTTGGTCACCACCGTGGTGGCCGTCTTGCCGGTGATGGTCTTGACCTCGCGCGGCACGCCGATGTCGAACTCCATCTCGTTGGAGCGGACCTTGTTGTCCTGCTTCAGCTTCCAGTGGTCGCCGCTGACGCTGACGGTGATGGTGGGCGTGCCGGACGTCGCCGCCTTGCGCATCAGCATGTTGAGGCCCATGGCCTTCAGGAACTCGTCAAAGTTCTCTGAGGAGACCAGCTTGTAGACGCCGTTGTAGTCGGGCATGGCGGCGGCGCGGGACGGCGGAGAGCGGGTAGGTAGCGAGTGGCGGTGGGGAGCGGCGTCCGGCGGCACGACTGAGACTGCGGGCCGCGCCGGCCGGCGCCCACCTTTATCGTCGCGCGCCGGCCGCTGTTGTGTGTGGAGGGAGGAGATGGGAGGGGGGGGGGTGCGCTATCGGCGCACCGGCCAAACGGCGGCGGAGGAGCGTTTAGCAGGCGTGTGCTGACTGGCCGGAACGCGGACCGGGCCGACCGCACCCCCGCAGCGGCCGCCATTGGCCACACAGGCACTATCAGCCGAGCAGAGAGACGGCGTTGTTTTTGTTTGTCTACCGCACCATCGCCATTATCAACTCTGTGGGCGGTGCGGGATGGTCGGCTCCAATTGGCTGTCGCTCGGTCACGCTGACTGTCGCCCCTCCCCTCCCTCCCTTCCCTTCCCGGCTAGCCACTCGCGGTGAGTGATCAGTCCTGAAGCTGTTTCAATGTGGTCACTGTTCAGCTGCTCTACTGCTGACCCCGACCAAAGCTCTCCGCTCATCATTCAGAATCGGGAAGGGAGAGATGAGGGCAGGGTACAACTAAAAGTTACAGAAATCGACGCACTGAAAATTTGTGCTTTTGCCTTTTAGTGAAATGAATTTTACCATAATTTTATCTTATCCAATTTTCAAGCAAGCCCTTTTACTGTGTTTGTTTTCGTCGATTATTTCAAGCACACCGGGAGCTAGCGACATGAGAATTTGTCTCCAAATATCCGGTCCGTTTAAGCCTCTCTAGCTAAGATTCGTAGTGCTTACCAAGAGAAGTACCCGGAAACGTTTTCTTACGATACTGCCTCTGAAAAAGATGGATCACGAAAATATAGGTGCTGCATGATAGATATTCATTCATCAAAGTAAGACGGAGCACTGCTAGTGCCAATACCGATTCGCAAAAGTGGTTGTTTGATTACTGACGTGTCTGTGTGACCTGACGCCGGTGACGTGGGCGCCACATCCGTTACCCGCCCGCCGGCCGCCTCTGACTGTCCCCCGTCCACTGACCGCCGGCCGCCTGTGACTGTCTGCCCGTCCACCGCCCGCCGGCCGCCTCTGACCGTCTCCCCGCCCCCGCTCGGCAGGCGCGCCTTCATCAGCACGTGCCAGGACCAGCTGGCCAGCTACCTGACGGACCTGCGTGCCAGCTCGGACCCGGACGCCGGCCTGCTGGCCGCCCGCCTCAAGGACACCAAGGTGGCGCTGGAGCGGCTGCGCCAGGCGCCGGCCGCCGCCGACTCGAGCGGCCTGGGCGCGCTGGGCCTGGGTCTGGGCAGGTCCCCGGCGCGCCGGTGATGGCGCGGCGCGGCCCGCCGGGGACAGCGCCGCAGCTCCGCGGGATCCAAAGCTTCGCCGCGGCTCGCGTCAGACGGGCAGACCGTGATACGGCGGCACACCGCCAGCCAGCGGGCAGACGAGTCAGGTGGAGAATTCCGCTGTGGGGTGTGGTAGATGTCAGCCATGTGCCGATTTGGGCTGACCGTTTCGGCCGTGACCTGCTCCGCGGAGTGGGTAAAGAGGAGAGTCCATTGGAGGGGGTCCTCCTGTATCACTGTGGGCGAGCTGCTGCTGCTTGTGTCCCATTAACGCGAAGGTCTCGGCTTGTGGAGAAAATAAACCAATGTTTACATTTCGCCGGTGTGTGCAGTACCTATCTGTTTCGCCAGTAGCCAGTCGTCTGGGTCGCGGATCGTTCGACGCCGTTCCAGAACAGGTGGCCGTCCCATCTGAACAAGACTCTAGTGAAGGTATCACCCGACGCTGCTGCTGCAGTGTCGTCGTGACACGCATTCTGGTGTTCCTGGGTTCCCAGGTCCACTAAATGGTAGGGTTAATGTAAAAAAAAAAACACGCACACACGCTCACACACAGTATTCCAGCTTCCGAACCATTTTACTTTTTCCCCTATTTGCTTGTATTGCAAATAGTATCCGACGTGCATAGGTACTGCTTGGGTACTGCATAGACCTTGACCTCAATTCATGCCTCATGTTGTTGAAGTCAGCCGTCCCCAAACGAGCGTCCGTTTTCCGTAATCCGTGCGAATAGGTTTCCAGAATGGTTGAATAGGGAGCTCTTGTCAAGGCAGTTTTAGACTCGTTAGCTAAATTGGGAACACTGGTGTCAGAGGAGCACCAGCGCCAGCTTACGACCATGTCTAATTCTATGTGCTAACGACTCGCCTGAGCTGTGGTCCTGAAGAACGGAACTAAAGGGCTATATTTAAGGCAAGTTTCTCTAATGTTACAGACATGCGAGAGGCGGATCGATGATCTCAGTGGATCCCTCGACAAAATGGAGGGTCGGATATATATGTGTGGATCTCGACAAAATGAAAGTGTCGAATCTATGATCTGGGTGGATCCCAGAACCAAATCCATGGGATCAGATCTCGGATCCATTTTTCCGGATTAGTGCACATGTCTGTTTACAAAGCCGTGTCTGACAAAGGCGAAGCTGGAGAGAAAGGCTGCTGTGGCCTGAAGGCTACACCCTCTGGCGCCGTGGTCTGGGCGGCTGAGCTCTGCCGTGAAAAGCGGATCCGCGCTCGATTTCCGCCCAGTGTGGCATGACATTGATCAGATGCGCCGGCGGGGAAACCCACGGCGGCTCAACACGGCCGACTCATGCTGCGTCTCCCACCGGCGACTGACGAGTGACGACTATCGAACCTCGGTCGAGCCAGTCATGCACATTCTGAGGTAAACATGCACGTGTATTCTCGGACGGCGGTATCGCGTGTCAGCATTTAGACGTGCCGAACAGTTAGCCCACAACTTCTGCTTCTACCACCATACATACACTTGCTGTGTTTCGGACCCCGTATTTGACAGTATTTTGACTTGTGAAACGACACTACCACGATGGCCGGATCCGGCGCTTCACTGTCGAAAACTCGTCACCAGGCCGTGGGAATGTGTATTAAAAAGAACAGCACAAGTTTGAAGTGGCTCCGGCGCGGCGCCTGTCCGGGCGGACAGCCCGCCCGGGCGCCGGCGCTGCGGCGGCCACCCCACCCCACACACGTACACACCCGCTCCCAGCCCTCTCAGCGAGGAGGAGGAGCGTACCACAGGCCGTTTGAGAGCTCGCCCGCCGGCGGCGGACGCTGGTGCGGTGCTGGTGACGGGCGGCCGGCGCCCCCCACCCCGCACACCACACCGCCCAATCACCACATCGCACCGGCAATCTAGGATTGGTTAGAAAATCGATACACCAGACACCCCGCTAACAAATTGACTGTACTTTCACATTAGGACCGGGGATTTTAGAGTGCTGTGATCGTGCGGTGCACTGATGGTCGCCCCAGTTCCTACCGCCCGGCGCGGCGGAGGAGCCCACGCCCTCACTCGGCCTCCCCGGCGCCAGGGTGGCCAGTGAGGCGTGCACACACAGAACTCCCTCACCCAACGGGGTAACGAAACCGCGCCTCTGATCGGACACACACAGACACACAAACACCAGCGCACGCGGCGGACGACAGGCAGGCAGTGGACACACTGACGAGGCGGCCGCCGCTCCCACTGACAGGCCCCGGCGGTCCCCGGCAGGTAAGGGCCGCCCGCAGACAGTCCTCGGCGGATCCCCGAGCGGTCCACAGGCCGGTGCGGGCCGCGCCTCCGCACCGCACACCGGCACTGACTCGGCCGGCCGGCGAGCGACTCCGACTCGGCCGGCCGGCGAGCGACTCTGACTCCTCCGGCCGGAGTGAGTCTCTGAGCGACTCGGCCCGGCGGCGGCGGCGGCGTCTACAGGGACGCCACGACGGCCTCCATCCGCTGGACGGCCTCCTCCTTCTTGCGGTTGAGCTGCGCCTCCTGCTCGACGAACTGCGGCTTGGCCAGCTTGCCGGCTAGCAGGCGCTCGGCGATGGTGGCGTGCTGGGTCAGGTGCTCGCGCAGCGTCCTGGGGACACGGACCGACGGCGCGGCGTCAGAGCAGGGACAAGCATACACATAGCGAAGGAACATACATTATATAATAGCGGCATGGTAAGTACCCGCAGCAAACTGACGACAAAGAACCAGGAACCGAGCCCCTCCCCCGCAACCTACAGGGCCGCACACAGACTAGGCTGTCAGGTGGTAAATATGAATATGCTAGTATCGGACACACCAAATATTGACCATACAAACATCCCGCGTCTGACCTCGCAGACCGCTTCAACGCGTGGTGTCCTCACTAAGTCGCTGTTTGCCCCACCGCATTATGAGCCTGGCAGCGTGTGCTAGAGCCGGTACCCGCACCAACAGCTGCGGCACCTCAGACCCGTCCGGTGCGGCCCACTACCGTCCGGTCCGGTTCAGCCCACTGGCGTCCAGTCCGGCCCGGTCCGGCGCACTACCGTCCGGTCCGGTCCGGCCCACCTCAGACCCGTCCGGTCCGACCCACTACCGTCCGGTCCGGCCCGGCCCACCGCCGTCCGGCCCGGCCCCGCCGCCGCGCCACTCACTTGTCCTGCCGCTGCAGCTCGGCGATCCGCTCGGCGGTCTCTGCCGCCCCGTCGGCGCGGATCTGCTCCTGCAGGCCGGCGATGGCAGCCGCCTCCGACTTCAGACCGGCGCTCAGCGTCTTCACAATCGCCTGGCGACACACGGACGGATTAGAGCCAATTAGAGCCGCCACAGGCACCGGTCCGACCTCGCCTACCCCGTCCGTGTAACTCACACCGCGGTGCTAGGTGACTGAGCCAAGAGGAGCCGGAAGGTAAACCGTTCGCATTCTCAAAAGACTTGGACGAAATTTTGTGTATATCTCGCTAAAAAGTTCCGTAGCTTCATAACAATTAGTAACCACTAACCACTGATCATACATTGCTCTAATAAGGCTAATAAATCAGATCACTTGAAAACTTCTTAAAGGTATCAGAAAAACATGCTTAGCGTCAGAATCGTGCCACACTACAGCCGGGACTGGTCCATTGCCCAGGTCCCAGTTACCTGGAGTGCGCCGGTGTCCTTGCTGGTCTTGGCCTTGGCGATGCTGTCCTCCATGTTCTGGTAGAGGCCGCAGCGCGTGTCGTGGTGCGCGCGCACCTTGTCACACAGACTGGCCACCTTCTCACGGACGGCCGAGCCCTCCTCCTGCGCGGCACAAACAGACAACGGTCACACGAGTACCGGCGGCACGCGGCACAAACAGACAACGGTCACACGAGCACCGGCGGCACAAACAGACACCGGTCACACGAGTACCGGCGGCACGCGGCCAACGGCGGACGGGCGCAGGGGCGGTATGGGCCGCGGCAAACGGCGGACGGGCACGGGGACGGTATGGGCCGCGGCAAACGGCGGACGGGCACGGGACGGTGCAGCTCGGGGCGAATGGGCCGAGGGGCAACGAATGTACGCAGGCTACGTGAGAACCTCTCCATGCTTAATTTATTTGGATACAATGAACTAAATGATAAGACTCTTTGGGTGAGCAGAAAACGGCACCTGGCCGCGTGCTCTCCGGCTCTCCCGGGGTGTCCCACGGTCTCCGGCGCGTCTAACGAGACACCCGTCAGCCTGGTGAGGATTCTAAGCCATACACAACACCCCACCACTGACGCAGCTGGGGCCAGCGACAGCTCTGAGCGGTCGGCGCCGGCCGCACATCCAGCTACCGCCCGCTGGGACGGGGTGCCCAGCGCGCGGCGTCGCGTACCTGGCTGATGGAGAAGTCGAGCCGACTGCGGGGTGCCCAGCGCGCGGAGGAGCGTACCTGGCTGATGGAGAAGTCGGCTCACAGCGCGCGGAGGAGCGTACCTGGCTGATGGAGAAGTCGGCTCACAGCGCGCGGAGGAGCGTACCTGGCTGATGGAGAAGTCGGCTCACAGCGCGCGGAGGAGCGTACCTGGCTGATGGAGAAGTCGGCTCACAGCGCGCGGAGGAGCGTACCTGGCTGATGGAGAAGTCGAGCCGCACGTAGATGATGACTAGCAGGAAGAGCAGCAGGAAGGCGACCACCACCATGAGCGGCTCGCGCACCGTCATCCAGACGGGGAAGCGGTAGCCGATGCGGAACTCCTGGATGTGGTTCTCCACCAGGTTGGTCTTGGTGACGCTGATGACGGGCCGGCCGGTGATGTCCAGGTAGGTCAGCAGCAGAGAGTCCTGCGGTCAGACACAGTTATATCAGCCCCGGGGACATCAGCGACACACGGTCACACAGACCAGAACGTACCGTGCTGCAGTCTCAGTCACCACAAGGTGCTCTTAGTTCAGTCATGGATATTTAACAGAGCGCCAGATACCGATACAGTGTCTCACGGTGGTTGGCAATAGATAGAGGTAAAGACACGGCACCGGTCATCGGAAATAAAGAGCAGGCACTGATAAATGGACCCATTATGTGGGCAGACAGCAGACAGCGATGTCAGCGGGACGGTAGGCCAGAGGATCACAGCCCGGCGGACCGACCCCCGACCCCTTCACACAGCCGCAGTACCCACCGGCCGGCGTGTGACGGGGTAGGGCGTCTGCAGCTGCACGTCGGAGGCGCCTTCGGGCAGCACCACCGACACCTCCAGCTCGTCCACCACCATGTCGTCCAACACGTGGTCCAGCAGGCGCATACTCAGCACGTAGTTCTCGCCTGACCACGGACGGACGGCAGACAGACGTCAGCAGACGGATACAACCGCACAGAAACGGTACAGGGCCTCAGAGGAGACGTAGAGGACGAGACCACGGACGAGGGGAAAACGGGAGACAGGTCCGCCCACTGCAGGAACTTCGCATGGAATTATTCGGCGCATATCGGACAAAACAGAACAATTATACGGTGAAGGGCGTGAAGGCTACTAATATTGCTACTGCATTTAAAACTTCAAAAGTTTTGAACCGCAAAAAGCGTTGCAATGACCAAATATGTTATGGACCACTCATCCCCCAACCTTTTTACGTTTATAAGTAAGCAAACACGTCTGTAAAGAAATAACATTGCTTATACATAGGTAGGTGCCACGCACTTTCTTCAAGAACCATAAAAGAGAATTTCATTAAAAAATGGCTTGCTCACGTCTTACGAGCACTATTAAGCACAGTAATTGCTTAACACGCGCACCGACGGGGGGGGGGCGGATATCCGCCCCCCACTGAGGTTTTTCGCGAATAGCGGGAAAACCGCGGCGCGTAGCGCCGCGAATTTGGTACACTATTCCCTCATCAATTTTACACATGATGTGCAACTTTGAACCTCCTACCTTTCAAGGTCAGGTCACCAGGTCACTTTGAATGACCCAACCTCAAGTCACTTTTTTGCAACTTTGTCACCGTGCCACAGCTACAGTAGATGTCGGAGGCCTTTGAAAGTCGCAGGATGTTATAAGTCATTAGTAGCTACAATTTGTATATCTCGGAATTTTGATATCGGTGACCTAAGGTCAGGTCAATTTCGCGACCTCCCCATTATAAGTCAATGGGGGAAAAATCAACTCCCTGTTTTTACCACTAAAGCGGGTCGGAATGGCCCCATATACCATACATGACTTCATATACGATCAACCTTTACTACCTTGAGGTCTGTTTTGCTGTTGGGCAGCTGTAAGGTCATGTGACGTCATCAAAGGTCACCAAAGGTTTTTGGCCAATAACTCCGTACAGGAACAAGATACAGCCGCGTGGATGGTCTCATTGTGTTCAGCTCGTCAAGACGCATCGAATGATAAACATGATGACCTCGAGGTCACGTGACCTGAGGTCAACCTTTGACCTTGACCTTTCGAGGTCAACATATATATCATTCGATGCGGATTGACGAGAGGATCACGATGATGCCCTTAGTTTGTTCCTATCTTGACTAATTCGAAAGTTATTCGAGAAAAACTCTCCATATCTAGCGCCGCCATTTTGACTTTTTCGACCCCTGTGACGTCATCTTTGACCTGACCTGAAAATGACCTTAGTAAAAATTGTAGATCTTGACCGTGCGTATCCTATGCCGTTTACCGCTTGTCGCTATCTTGCTTCGTTCTCGAGATCTCAGGGGGGGGGGCGGTCATCCGCCCCCCCCCCCCCCGTCGGTGCGAAGTTGGCGCAGACCCCCGTCGGTGCGCGGGTTAAAGCTCTACCACCGACTCTGCCCGTGAGCGGTGGCCGGCCCGGAGCTCACCGCTGCGGAACAGGTACTCGTAGACGGGTACCGTGTATCCGATCACATAGTGGGTGCGCCAGCCGCCGAACAGCGGGAAGCGCGGCCGCAGCTCCAGCTCCACCTCGTCGGGCAGCACGCGCATCCGCGACGTGCTGATGTTGCCGATCTCGTCCCGGTAGTAGACGCCCTGGGCGGCGGCCGGCAGCGACGTCTGCAGCACACAGCGGTTAGAGGTCCGGGGTGGAAAAACGGCAGACAATACCAGACACTTCGGGTGGGGGCTTAGTAAGAACCGGACCGTGACGGAAAAGGCAGACCAAATCAGACACTTCAGGCCAGAGCTCAGTGATTAGAGGGTAACAGACTGCATTAGTGCAGCTGACGCTCCGGACAGACCATACCATACACTTCGGACCAGAGTTCAGTGAAAAACGGTTCCCGCCGAACCAGACTCACTGTCAGTGGTCCGTCCCGCGTCCCCGGCCTACCGCGCCGCCCACCTTGAACTGCTGCACGCTGGAGACGCCGCTGTTGTGCTCGCGCTGGTAGTCGAAGCGCGAGAAGGAGCCGCGCAGCTTGGCGCCCACGTGACGCACGTCGACCGTCTCCTCGACCGAGATGTAGCCCCAGTGGGAGACCTCGATGTGCCGGGTCAGCCGCGTCACCGCCAGGAACGGCGAGTTGTTCTCGGCGTGCACCACCAGCTCGCTCTGCCGGCGCCACAGACCGACGGTCAGTCAGAGAGTCACGGACAGACCAGCACCAGCAATGTGACCCGGCCCGCCCCATCCGGACACTGACGGCAGAGAGCACCGCACCCACCCCGCGGCGCCCCACCCGGCCAACAGCGACAGAAGGCGCCTCACGGTCAGTACCGACAGACAGCGCCGCCCGGTCACCACCGACAGACAGCACCGTACCCGCCCCACGGCCACTACCGACAGACAGCACCCCGCGGTCACTACCGACAGACGGCGCCCCACTACCGACAGACGGCGCTGCCCGGGCACTGCCGACAGACAGCGCTGCCCGGACACTACCGACAGACGGCGCCCCGTTCATCCACTACCGGCAGACGGCGCCCCGTTCATCCACTACCGACAGACGGCGCCCCGTTCATCCACTACCGACAGACGGCGCCCCGTTCATCCACTACCGACAGACGGCGCCCCGTTCATCCACTACCGGCAGACGGCGCCCCGTTCATCCACTACCGGCAGACGGCGCCGTGGAACCCAGACACTGCCGACGGACGGCGCCCCCGTTCATACACTACCGACGGACGGCGCCGCGGTACCCGGCCACTGCCGACGGACGGCGCCCCGCGGCCGCCCCACGGCGCCCCGCGGCCGTGCACTCACCCGTGAGTACTCTGGTACGTTCTCGTACGGCCCCAGGGTGATGGTGGTGTCTGTGAGCTGGCTGGGCTTCAGCTTGGTGTAGCTCTCCACGTTGGCAGAGGCCAGCAGCACCTTGGTGGTCTGCTGCTGCACCGGGTACGGCGTGAACACGTAGTGGTTGCCCACGAAGCGGACCAGCTGTTTGTCAGCCTGGCTGATCTCTGCCGGGAACGGCTCCAGGCCATGGCTGTACACCTTCTCCACCTCAACCTGCACAATAGAGTGATGGCACAAGGTGAGAAAATGTCTGACTGGACAGGGTAAAACAGACCAATCACAAAATCAGATATATGAGTCACAAACCAGAATTGCTGGGCAACCTAAGACAGGATTGGATTTTGCATTAGGATTTTAGCATTGGAAAACAAACAAAGCAAAAACACTGGGATACCTGAGCATATTGACCTCAGATGTGTAACTTTGAGACATGAGCCAAATTTTAGTATTCATGCAAAAAGGATAAAGCAGCATTGCTGAAGTTAAGATATATGACTCATCTATTTATTGCCAAATAGTTATTCCACTTTTCAAGCAAATATGTGTTGACAATCTTCATTAACTCAGAAACACATCAGCTAGCATCATCATTTCAACATGCTAAAAAAAAATGTTATAAAAAAGAAAGACAGTTACTCAATGAGACTCCATCAGAAGAGCCGCTGTGGGATTTTAATGCATCTGAATTTGAGTTAACACTATACCTTGACTGTTTGCCCCTGAGCCAGGGGCTTGGGCAGTGTGGCAGAGAAATGCTTCACACCTGGCTTGCTGGAGATTTCAATAGGCTTCACATCCAATGCCTCATTGCCAACCTGGAATATAAGGTGATGTGCCTCTAGTTAGTTCAATGCTTAATTGTATATACTCTTATACAGTCTAAAATGATTCATAGTTTTGTATCTCCTTCAATAACAAATAAATTCATTTACAACCTGTCACTTGACACATTCCATTAAAATATCTAAGGATAAAAAATCTAAGGATTCTACTTTGAATGGAGTTAAATTGTATTGTATTTAAGTATGCTACTTATTTTAATGATAGGCAAACATACTGAAAACATTTAGAACAACACCATGCATATATTACAAACACTTTTACACATTCATTTGCAGGGGAAAAACTTTCTAATCTTCACATTGTTTCCTCTTCTTCCCACCTCTCCCAGCCAAGAGGGTGGTCAGCAAGGATATTGTTTTGTATGGTAAGGCCCCTTAATTAGGGGGAGACAATGCCTGGTCTGGGCCGGCACCTCATCCTTCACTGGGGATAAGCCCATCACATGGATCAGCTAGCCATCCCTGCAAACAGTCATCCCACCACACATGGGCCTGCTCTTAAAGGAAATAGTTCACATTTTAACATGGGTTTTGAACTGGAATAGCAGTTCCGTAGCTTGGGCTGAGACGAGCATAAATCAGGAGCTTTTACAGCCCAACGATCACCCTAGGCAAAGATATTCTATTTCTCGTCCCGAAAAATGTGTCTTGCGTTGAGGATGTGTGCCTTGCATATATTCGCATCCAGTATGAAACGAGCATGGGTCCCGAAAATTCTTCAGAAACTAGAGAAATTATCTACGAGAACTCTAGAGAAATTCGCTCCAGTGAGGCGCTCCCACGGCTCCAGTAACAAAAGCACGAGCAGATCGCCCAAATGCCGGTGGCCGCGATAATTTCTCTAGTTTCTGAAGAATTTTTGGGACCCATGCTCTTTTCATACTGGATCGCGTGTGCCTTACAGAAACTGAAAAGTTCTTCCTATATCAAAAATATAGAAAATAATCTTTTGTTGTAAAAAGGTTTTATTTTCTTTGCTGATCATTTTGAACATAAAAAATCACAAATCCATTACAAAAAAAAATAATTTCGTGAAAGTGAACTATTTCCTGGGGAGCTGCTCATGTCAGACAAGGGGGATGATCACACCTAGATCACAGGGCAATGGGCATGAGGCATAGGTAGGTACATAAGGATTTGACTGCCCTGATTAAAAATGGAAATGATGGAACAGCAGATGCAAGAAAATCTGAAAAGTGAGTTCTAAGTATCTTGAAGTAGCATGCTCTTCAGATATATCATTGAGAACCAGCTGAACCATTGTGCTTATGAGTCAGACCTGCTCAACAAATGCATTCCATGAATTGCCAATTCAGTAGGCGGAACTATGGTCATGAGTACCCAAATATAGGAACGTTCCCATTTTTGGGAACGGAGTTCCCAAATATGGGAACGGGCGTTCCCATTTATGAGAACGGAAGGCAATTTTTCGGCCGTTCGCCCACTAAAACTCAAAAGTGCATCACGTCTCAAAAAAGTGCACGCTGATTTAAGTATCTACTAAATCTCCATAAAGTTATCTTTAATCTGACCGTGGAACAAGGAAATTGACCGTGGAATGATATTTTTAATGATTTTTTAAAAATGACAGAATGGTGGAAATATGGGTTATACGACATTTAACATGCAATTTTAAGGAAAATGAAGCATTTTTTACATTTTGAGGTCAAGTATAATAATTTTCGCCTGGTTATGAAGTTTCATTCTAGCGACACCAGATGCTGACATATGCAAGCGAACACGCGGACAGTCCCGAGGTAATATTGTTGACTTTTGGTGTCGGGGCGATTGACCGCGTGAAACGTCAGTGATTTTACCGAACTACTGTTGTAAACTCAGTTTCAGTGGTTTAAAATCATTCAGCTGTATTTTATCAGCCCTGAAAGACATATTTTATTTGGATGCTAGCTGTTTAGCGTTGTTTTATAAGCAGCGTCATGAGCGTGGTTTTTGTCTTCGGCGTTTCTAAGCATGATCGTTTGGGGGGAATTTCTCTGATATAGGTCGCTCTGTGTGGCTTAATTATAATTTTTATGCTGATTTCGATCATTCCTCGTGCCCATCCTACCAGGCCTTTTGCCACTTACACTCATTAAGAAAGGAAAAAACTAGATTTTCATTGGGACTAGGTGTTTTGAGGGTGTAACATATTCAGCGTTCCCATTTTTGGATACTTCTTGTGCTCGTCAACTCTCGGTGATTAGCAGACAGGTGCTTGACATGTCTCCACCCTCGGCGCGGACGGTGGATATAGGTATGGAAGACCTTGTTGAACATCGCTGAGCGTTGTGGATTACGTAATCCTGCAGAGGGGGGCGTGCCCGCTGCGAGATCGACGGGAATAAAAGCGCAGAAGACCGGGCGAAACATGCAACGGTCTTGCCGGAAAGGTCATCTGATGATTGTTGCGTTAACAATAATTTGCGGCGTTGGACGTGATGCTTGTTAATGAAAAGAGCCCCTGAAAGGCGTCGGTGAAATCGTTCCCAATTTTGGGTACGCCGTTCCCATAATAAGGAACGCTTGCAGCGCCAGTGTACGAGAGCGTTCCCAAATTTGGGCTCGCGGCCCGGGTGATGGACTGCTTTAGAAATAGGGGAACGATTTGAAACTACGATGGGCCTTACAATATCAAACTCTTTCCCAACAATATTGAGACAACTATCAGGCGGTTCACGATCGTTTTATATTTTTTGGACGTCATTTAACGGTTCTTTTTCTTGTTTTAAATAATGCCTACATGGCGTTCCCATATTTGGGTTTATCGTTCCCAATTATGGGAACGAAAATGCGTTCCCGAAAATGGGTACGCTTGACCATAGTTCCGCCTACTGAATTGCCCACTCACCTTGGCAGCAATGAATGACAGGTCACCCTTCCACTCTGGATCAGATGAGAATAGGATTGATGATATCGGTTTTGCATCACTGTTTTCATAAGTAATGATTGCATTGACTTTTATGAGCTGAGAAGATATGTCAATTGTTCTTTCCGCTTTTTTGATAACTACAGATCCACTTCCGGAGACAAGCGATACTCCGATAAGGATTGCAAAGACTTGTACCACTTTTGAAACGTGTTTTAACATTATGTTGAATTCTTCGACCAGAAAACTACGCAAAAACCAATTAATCCGTAAAGAAAAAGAACTAATCGAAATATATATTTCACGCCTGCAACATGCCGCCTCGGCAGTGAGAGCGGTCGCCGGTCGGTTCTTGTGCGCAATATTTGTCTATCGCAATTCCAAGTGCCTACGAGGCAATCTAGTATATGTATTGTAGCGATAGCGTATTTACAAACTGCAACCGAGCTCCGCCGTAGGGTATTTTATTTCCGCCGTAGTATATTTCAGTTGGGGTATTTTCTACCATACATCTGCCTGAGCTTGAGGTAATTACAATTTGTCGGCGACGTTAAAAATGATGCACCTTTTTTCGCAGTATAGGTTATCGCATGTGCATATTTTAGCCTTTTTGGTTGCGCTTTTCCCTTGCCCGTATAGGGGTAGGCGTTGAGCGGACCCCATCGGTTTTTCGTGAGTAACTCGCGTAAAAACCGTCCGATCGCGACGAAACTTTCAATACCCCTGATTTTATCAATTTTACTCCTACCCTGAAAATTTCATGACCCTGACCCAAATGACCTTTGACCTGTGACCTATTTCTCGAGACCATGTTTGGCCCGAATCGCGATTCGGCGTATGTCGGCTCGCATTAGCCGCGCGTTTGCAGTCTTTACGTGGTTTCAAGCGTTGAAACATGTTATATGATGCTGGTCCCATGCATTAGGATGGGTGTCACATGAAGGTCAGGTCAGCTCAATGACCTTTAATGACCTCGGCTCACTTTTTCGAGTTTAGCATGTTTCTAGGCTAGTTTTTGGAGCTGATTTCGAATTTAGCAACCATTTGAACATTACAGGGGGTGTAACGAAATTATCCGGACATCTTTCTTCCCGCTGTAATTAAAAAGCAAAACATTGTGGTACTTTTTATTTTGACTGAGCATGTAGCCACCTTTCATAAACACACAGTGGCGAATGTTTTGGAGCATTTCAGCCAATGGATTCTCCAGCACACTGGCTTTGATGCGGACCAACGCCGTCTAAACCTGTGCCTGCGGTTGGGTGGTGCTTGTGGCGGGCGTCTCTTCAGTCACCTGCTGAACAAGAGCCCACAGGTTTTCGATTGAATTGGGATCGCGACTTTTTCCAAGTCATAAGCGTTAGCCCAGAATGATTGAAGGTTCTATCGGCATCACTTCCCGTTCTTTTAGGGACTTTTAAGTAGCGCACCGCCCCGCATGAAGACAGCGTGGCTTGAATCAGGCATCAGTGCGCGTTCAGAAACCGAGCCCTCCTATACCGTCTGGTTGAGCGCCTCCGACTATTCATTGGCCAGTATGTTTCTCCGGTAATACTTACGTTGATGGTGGTATTATGTGACACTATGTCCTATTGGAGGATCGCTAAGCAGCTGAACATGCTCCAGTTCTGGATATTGTCCGGATGTTTGACGGCGGCGAAGGCCAGCAAGTTCGAGCGGCTGGCCGCCCATACATGGCCGATTTGACGGTTCAAAGGAAAATACAGCTCGAACGGCTACCCATCCAACCAGACCACCTCACCCTTATCATTCTTCAACCAGTGGACGCGATCTGGCGTGAGGCGAAAGGTGGTGAACTGGTTGTTTTCCCGTCAGTTTCGTTGTCTTTTTCAGTTTGAAGGGCACTAGAACCAAGTTAAAGGGCGGGTAGCGGTAAACCATGATATGGGATCTCTTATTATCTGACTTGGTAAGAATTCGAGTCAATTTGCGGATTGGTTGGTGCCGTTTCCTTGCCGCTATCTTGATGACTCTCCTCACCACTTGACAAAGGGCGGCTTTTGTGGTCGCGACCAACCGATAGAAGAGGCACGTATTCATCCAATATTCCCACTTCTAACATCAGAAAGGATTAGAAAACTGTGCAAACAGATATGGCGAAAAAATAGATGTCCGGAATCGTTACACCCTGTACTGAAGTAGTTTTAGTGCCTTCGTGACATGTTACGAAGCTGTCAGAGAAAAAATAGCGTTCTGCCCCTCCAACTTTTGCTTATTGTAGAGCTTCGTTGCTTAGCAAACCACTATGTTGTTCGCATTGAGGAGCTTTGAAATGTCTGTGTAATTCAAAATGTTAGTTCTGTAATTAAAAGAATTGATTCAGTGTTGCACATAATCTAACTTAACAACCGAGCATTGCAGGTTTGACAGCTTTTTGCCCCACCAGCACCACCTTCCCTGGAAAAGCTCCACCCTTGCCTATGGGGCAAAACATAAGGGACAAAAACACAAAACAAGACAGATAAAAAACAAAACAAAATGAACTTATTACCAAAATCAACCTGACCAGGTCTTACGGTCTGACCTGATCCTAGCCGCCTTACTTCACCTAACTTAACCCAATTCAACCTAACCTACCACAACACCTGCAGAGGTACCTTCCTGGAAAATGACGCCCAGGGAGCTGTCCAACTTATTGGAATTTTACCATGATTGCTTGTCAAAATGTGTGTCATCATGCTCTTGTTTGACAAAAAAAAAGTGTAATAAATGTGACATTCAAAAATGGTCTCCTGACTGTTGAGTGATCAGAATATTCAAATAATCAGGGTACAATGCTGTGCATCATAGTCCACACTAATCATGTTGTTTTTGTGTAGGCCCTATGCGCATTATTGTGTACACTGCCATGTGCACCTTAAGGAAAACAAGTGACTGGTGGTACATGAAAAAGGTTGTGCAACTGTGAAGTTCATGCCCTTGGTCTTGCTGGAGTCAAATGCCTATAGCTATAGCAGGATCATACACTGTGAATTGAAGATATTGGCACAAAGTTCATCCATAATTACTATGCTTAACACCTGATGTAAGAAGCAACATAAATGCCCAGATGATACAGCTCTCTGGTCAACATCACACAAATTTATTGACATACTTTGCAGGTACATATTTACAATCATAGCAAATACTTTCAATTTGATTCAATTACTAGGTGCTAGTAAGCTTGCATTTTTGTAGGTACAATGAACATATATTTAATCATAAAAAAACTTTCTTGTGGCAATGGCATTCATCACATACCTTTTTTCCGAACAAGTACCTATCTACCATGCAATGATTCTAAATTTTATCCGCAATCCACCAATATCTCAACTGACACATTGAAATTGAAATACCCTTACAAAACCTAGAACTGTACAAAAGAAGAATGCAATGTTACAAAAACTATGAAGTTCTGAAGTTATTCTCACATGCTGGAATGTTGAAACTCTACTTTTGTCGTCCATTTCCACGTTTGATTGTGATTGAGCCATCATATAGAAGTGTTTTCGCTCTTCAGTCAATAAGCTTTTGCACAAATCTTGAATTTTTACACATCATCTTGAACCATGCTCCAGTCTTTCCAACAAGGTACCATGGAACATCAAAGCAATTTTGATTTGTTACAACAGCTTCAGATCATAATAGGCTTGAAGTTTGTTACACCATTTGCCAGACAAAGCTCTACAAAATGTGTATCAATTCCCAAACTAAGCTATTGATTATATCAGTATTTGCAGTTTCCACACAATGCTTCATAATATTATTCGATTTTTATATCAAGAAACCCAAATAATCCACAAATTGTTATTGAAACACTCCCACACTTCAAGAGTTCACAGCAATAACAATACAAGTTCAGAAGCAAATAAACATTGCGCCAGATTTCGTATGAAACGCGCCATCATCCAGAAGTTTCTACCACAGACGGTAGCTCAACCGCAGCCGTAGTGCGAAAACCCCTGCCCACCTTACCCCACGGCGGAGCTCGGTTGCAATTTGTAAATACGCGTAGCGATATCCTCAAGAATATACTCATTCTAGGAAGTTAAGCAAAAAAAATTATTGAAATCTTTAATTAAAAAATAAATAATAATCAAATAATGAGTCTAAGAGTTACAACATTCTCCGCTGCTTTCAAAAAAATGTCTACCATAATTTCTTCCAATCAGATTTCAACCATATCTAGTTTATACACGTAGTTTTCTACCAAACAGCACTACATAAAAACAACAAACAATTTTTTCAATAACTTCAGAAATAAGGTTTCTTTTTGGTTTGCTACAAGATAAAATTATTTTAAAATTTTCTATCACAAAATTTCTTTGTAAATTTCCAAACTACCGAATAAAACTTGCAAAAATAATCACTATCTCTGTAGGACGTTTCTTACGCACTGATGACAAAATATAAAGCAGCAAAAAGTAAACAACTGCTTCATGCTTGCGGCCTTGCGTTGTTCAATGATCGGTGATAAGATACGCAATACCGTATTTTGACTTTTTCAACCTTTATTTTACGCTATTGATTATTGAATTAATTGTACCAAGGTCAAGCAATCCTGGTGCCCTGGTTAAGGTCAAGGTGAAAACCAAAGGTCCAAGGGGCGTGACATCTGAGGCGTCATCATCTGAGGCGTGCTGTGCTGAGCGTGACCAAACAAAAAGCGAGGGCTGCAGCAGGGGATTGAAAACGTCTGTGGTCTGACCTCTGACCTAGCTCTCATAGTCTAACAGCAAATAAAGCATTGAAGTGTGCAACCAAGTGCGCAGCAGCAATGGCATCTGGTGTCGAGTTACCAGCCCCGAGCAAGCTGCCACACATTGTGCCTCGCACCATACCAGGCGGCAGCCTTCAGCCAGAGATTCGGGGTGCCATGGATTGGTGAGTTATTCTGCCAGTAAGCTTCAGTAATCATATACCTCAGCTGGGTCTTGTCTGCTCTGAATGAAGTACCTACATAAGGACTGGGGAGAGTAGAATCTATTTGATTGTGTGGTCAATCTCTGGGTATAGTACCTCTCCTTGGTTGCAAAAATGAAAGTGTGATGCCTTCTAAACTACTACCCAAAATTGAATGTCTTTTTGGGTTCAGACAGTGAAGAATCCTTATTGACTTGTCAGGCCCTTAAAATGCTGTCTGAATTGTTGCACAGGCAGTGAAGATTCTAGGTGATATCATATTCATATGGTATCTTTGCCATCCAGGAGAATCTGAATCTGATCTAAAACTTGTAGCATTATCATTGGTTTAGCTTCAGTCCATTGAGTCATTGTATGAAATATGATTTATGCTCATCTCATCTCCTCGACGTACTGACTGATTTGGTGCATGCTGTTTGTTCTCAGGGGCTGGCAGGGTCTGCTGGCATACAGCTGCAACTACACAGTGGTGGTGATTGACCCTTTGACGCAGCAGCTCGTACAGACCCTCGACAAACACAAGGCCCTCGTCACCAAGGTAATATAACAAGAGAACAGAGTTTCACCTAACCTTCGTCTATCTCGTTTTAGCAGTGACTGGTAACATTCAGTTGCATATCACAGGATCAGTGCCAGTCAATTGGAACATTTAACAGTGTGCCACTGTTTAGTTCCATGCAGCAACATGTCACTGTGCGCCTACTAACCATCCATTGGTCATCACTGTGTGTTGCAGGTGAAATGGCAGCGCTCTCAGCTGGATGCCCGGTTTGCCTACCGCGCCGTGCTGGCATCAGCTGATGCCAGTGGACACATTGTCATCTGGGATGTCAAGGAGGGCTTCTTCACCATGGTCCTGCAGGACAGCTGGCGTCCGGTCTCTGGTCAGCAACTGAATGGATGGGCGCTGGACCAGTGGAGTTTTTATTTGCCATTTGTCCAGTTGTAGGATGTGGTAGTGTGATTTTGTCATGTAACCCCTGCACTCTGCAGTGGCTCTTTGATCCATGGAGTTGGCCGGTCTGGCTGTGTTCACTCGGTCCAATTTGAGTTCCTCCTGCTGTTCAGGCTGCTGTACGGTCAGACAGACACTAGGCTGAGTGCGCCACCTGTTACAGACATGAGCTGGGTGTACCACACGGACGGCTGCGGACACATGCTGCTGGCCGCCCACCCGCCCAACTCGCTCGTCCTCTGGGACACCGACAACGGAAACAAGCTCTGGAAAAAGACCTACAATGAACAGCTTCTGAGCTTCGACCTGGATCCGTTCGACCCGCGCAAACTGGCCCGTGAGTATCATATACCCACGAACCATTCCATCCTCGTGCTCCCTGGGTCACGAAAAAGGCCCTGATGTTAGATACTGCTGACAGTGCCCTGACAGTAAATACCGCTGTGAGCAATGACGGTAAGACGGTAAATAGTGCTGTGAGCACCCGGCGGCCAATTATAGTAAATACGGCTGACAGCGCCCTGACGGAAAATACCGCTGAGTTAATGTGGCGGTCAATGCCGATGTGAGCACGCTGACGGTAAATACCGCTGTGATTGTCCTGACGGTAAAAAATCGTTGTTAGCTGTAACGGTAAGTAGCCATGGCGGTAGGTTAGGCTGTAGGCTAGTGCCGGGACGGTAAATACTAAAAATGGTGTATGTTGTGACGGTAAATGTCGTTATTGTGAGGGTGCGCTCCTCTCGGCACCCGCTGACCGGGCCCGGCCCCGCCCGCCGGACCCGGCAGTGCTGTGTCCGTCCTCGGTGCTAATGGTGGACGACTTCGCCGTGGCCAAGTGTCCCAGCTCGGGCGGTACCAGGGTGCAGCTGTCGGCGCTGCGCAGCTCGGCCGGCGGCGGCGCCTCCTCCTCAGCGCCCAGTGAGTGATCACCCCTGCTGCTTCTCAGCTCCCAGCTCTCGGGTGAGGAGCTGAGCACCTCAGCTCCTCACCTCCTCAGCGCCTAGTGATCGTGATCGCCCCTGCTGCTTCTCAGCTACCAGCTCTCGACTGAGGAGCTGAGGCCTGAGCACATCAGCTCCTCAGCACCCACTGAGTGACAGCCTCAGCCCCTCAGCCCCTCAACCCCTCTGCGCCCATCCCGATCAGCAACCAGTGACTTAACTGATTTCCCGCCAGTGGCCAGTGAAGGCCTCAATATTCCCTCAGATTACAATGGGTGTCGCAGTCATATGTCGCAGTTATCCGGTTTTCCGTCTGCTCTAGTGAGTGGTCCGGTCTCCCCGTATTCCCAGTGATTTGGTGCTCTGGGTCTGGGTGCTCTGGGACTCGGTGCCCTGGTATTCCTCGGCATGCAATATTGCCCTGCTGTTCTTCACCCAGTGAGCTCTCCAAGGTCCCTCGTACTGGCTCCCTCAATGAGTACTCGTATTGCCAAGAGAAGTTCATTTCGCTCTTCTGTTCGCTCTTCCCTTATTATAGCTTTATATTTCTTTGCATTTTTCTTTCTTCTTTTTTGCCGTTTTCTTTTTTCGATTTGACTCACTCTTTTTTAGTGTGCCCTGTTCTTCATTTATACACTGATACTGGCCTGACGCATTTTCTCGTCTTCATTATCCACAGCTACACCAACCTATGACGAAAAGTCCACGAAAGATAAGCTAAAGAAGAAGGTCCTCGATCTGGTCACTGGCGACATACCCGGGTAAGGCGACAATGAAATGTTTCCGAATAATTATTTTCTACGATGTCGTGTGCCACTTGGTGTCCTTTTTGTGTCCTAGAAAGAGTAAAATAAGACATGCCATTGCCGATGGGCCGACCGACCTTGAGTATATGTGGGGCTGCTGGTTGGGCAAACCGAGTGTGGTGATTTATTTAAGTGGGCTCTCAGTATTGACTACCAGTCAGACTCAGGTCGGTCGTTTCACTGTGAGCGGGGCCGGTCGGCGCTCAGTGTGATCTGTCGGTGAGGAAGGGCTGATTGGTTCTGTGTGGTTGATATGTCGGACCGCTCGTCTCTCGGTGCTGACTGCCGATGGGGAGGGGCTGGTAGGTTCTGTGTGGTTGATATGTCGGACCGCTCGTCTCTCGGTGCTGACCTCGGCGCGCGCCGCCCGCAGGCCGGAGGAGGCGGCGCTCGGCCAGCAGGAGTGCGTCCATCTGAGCTACCACCGCGCGCGGCGCCACCTGCTGCTGCTGGTGTTCGGCAGGCAGGTGCTGCTGGTCGACACGCAGCTGGGCCGCGCCGTGGGCGCCGTGCCGGCCGACAAGTCTGGCTCGCCCTTCACCCAGGTGAGCTGTCCCCGCCGGCCGGACGGACGGGCCTGACCGGTGGCCGGCCGGGTCCGTGGTGGCATCAGCCCCAGCCTGAGCTCCGTGGTGCTCGTTGTGACGTGGATCCACTGCCCTACCGGCGCGCCGATCTCTGAGCCACCCGCTCTCCGCCGACAGGTGCTGAGCTGATTGCTGAGCCGATCTCTGAACCGCCTGCTGTCTGCCCGCAGCAGTTCGGCTGAGCTGATCGCTGAGCCGCCCGCTGTCTGTCCACAGTTCGGCTGAGCTGATCGCTGAGCCGCCCGCTGTCTGTCCGCTGGTGCTGAGCCGATCTCTGATTCGCCCGCTCTCCGCCGACAGGTGATGAGCTGTTCGCGCGCCGACGCCCTGCTGACGGTGTGCGAGTCCGGTGCAGCGGCGGTGCGCACGCGGGCCGCCGGCGACGAGCTGTCGTACGAGTCGCGCGGCCACACGGACGCGCCGCGGCTGACGCGCCACCTGCGTCTGTCGGCGGCGGCACTGGACCCGGCCTCGGAGGCGCGGCTGGCCGTGCTGCTCTCGGACGGCCGCTCGCTGCTCTGGGAGCTGGGCGCCGGTGGCGGCGGGCGCCGGCCGCTCTGGCCGCGGCCGCCGGCGCGCCTGCTGCTCGCCGGCCTCCTGACGCCCGGCCCGGCGGCGCCCACCGTGCTGCGCATGTGCCCGCCGCTCACCACCAAAAACTGGCAGGTCGGTGCGTCGCTCCGGCGAGCTGGGGGTGACGCGGGATCGGATCAGCGTGCTGTGGCAGTCTTAAGTTGATGTTTTGAGACCGAAGATCAGCCTAAAGAATTAGGTTGACACATTTCTACATTTTGAAAGTTTCGTTATTTGTGTGAGTCGGCCAAGTTAACATTTCATAAATTTTGTCCAGGCCTTGCTGGAACGATTAGGCTGATGCCGTCCATTTCAGCTTATTGACATAGCCAGTGCCACCCTTACCAGCATGGCTCATTATTCTGTTTAGAGATCTGCCTACCATATTATTCGTCCGTTATTAGTCTGTGGTGTTGTTCGCCTGTGCCCGCCCCGTGTATCGGTCGTCCTGTGAGCGCTCTGACGCGCCACTGCTGTGCGCAGGAGTTTGTGCCGCGGCTGGCGTGCGGCACGGCGGCCGGCGCGCTGCTGGTACTAGACGTGGCGCGCGGCTGCGTGCTGGCCGAGCTGGCCGCCCACTCGGCCGCCGTCGCCGGCATCGAGTGGTGCAGCCTGACGGCGCTTCTGTCCTGGGCGCGGCCGGCGCCGGCCGGCGGCGGCGGCGGCGGCGGCGGCGCGCGCAGCGAGCTGCTGCTCACTGACGTGCGCACCGGACAGTCGATAGCGCCGCGCGCCGAGCGCGCCGACTCCGAGCCGATCGGCTCCGTGCGCGTGTCGCCGCTCAAACAGTACTTTATCGTGGTGTTCCGCGAGCAGCCGGCCGAGCTGTGGGAGCTGAGCTCGCTCACCCAGCTGCGCGCGCTGCCGGCCTCGCTGCCGCCGCTGACGGCGCTCGAGTGGTCGCCGGTGCACAGCGCGCGCCGGCGCGCCGGCTCCGGCGCCTCCGAGACGGACGGCGCGCGCGCGCTGGCCAAGGAGCACTTTGTGTTCACCGACCCGACCGGCCAGATGTACCACTTCTCCGTGGAGGGGAATCAGGTGCGCGACGGTACGCGCATCCCGGCCGACCCGGCCGTGGGCACGGTCACTGGCATCGGCTGGAAGGGGGAGCAGGTGAGTGATCTGCCGGCCGCTCCGCCGCGCCGACCCGGCCGGTCACCAGTATCGGCTGGAAGGGGACCAGGTGAGCCTGCGGGCCTCTCCGCCGCGCTGACCCGGCTGGTCAGCCGTGCTTTTTGTTTCTTCTTTTGGATATTCATATTTTCTCGTTTGTCTCATGAAAATTGGTAGGTAGTACTAGCACTTATACCTCCGAGAAGATGGAAGCAAAGCCAACGTTTTAGGAACGAAGTACCCGTTATGTTCGCATACATAACTACTTATATTTACTTGGTCCCCATACAGTATTATTCTCACAAAGTGGCTGGCGTAGGAAGTGGGCCCGACCCGTGTCGTTCAGACCTGATTGAGGGCAGCACTGCCGCTGGCCGGTACCAGCGGGCGGTGAGGATAGGACACGTACCTGATGCCGCCGCTCCCCCTCCTCCCCCCTCCAGCTGGTGCTGGGGGACGCCGAGGGCCAGCTGTGCATCTGGGACCTGGCCAAGCAGCTGTCCCACACGGTACCCACCCACCGCGGCGCCATCCGCAAACTCAAGTTCGCGCCCGGCCGCGGCAACATGAAACTGCTGGTGCTGTTCGCTGACGGCGTGGACATCTGGGACACCAGGACGGTGAGTGGGACAGCTGGGACGGTCAGTGGGACATCTGGGACGGTCAGTGGGACATCTGGGACGGTGAGTGGGACATCTGGGACACCAGGACGGTCAGTGGGACAGCTGGGACACCAGGACGGTCAGTATATCTGGGTCATCTGGGACGGTCAGTGGGACAGCTGGGACACCAGGACGGTGAGTGGGACATCTGGGACACCAGGACGGTCAGTGGGACAGCTGGGATATATGGGAGAGTCAGTGAGATCTGGGATGTATGGGAGCGTCAGTGGGATATCTGGGTACATACCTGGCTGTGCAGTTTGCCTAAGGTCGTTGGCTGTGTTGACCTGGGTCGCTCGGTCGGCTGACGGTGCCGTCCTGTGCCGCAGGACCAGCGTCTCTCACAGCTGCGGTCGCCGCGCGACGGCCACCCGGTGCACGACTGTGACTGGGTCTCCTCCGACAAGCCGGTGCTGCTGACGGCAGACAACTGCGTGCGCGTCATGGATCTGGAGCTGCGCCAGGCCAGCTCTCCGACCGATCTCTACCAGTACAGAGGTGGGTAGAGCCGGCACCCGACCTCTACCAGTACAGAGGTGGGTGGAGCCGACACCCGACCTCTACCAGTATAGAGGTGGGTGGAGCCGACCTCTACCGGTACAGAGGTGGGTGGAGACGACCTCTACCAGTACAGAGGTGGGTGGAGCCGACACCCGACCTCTACCAGTATAGAGGTGGGTGGAACCGACACTGTTCGACCCGACACTGTTCGACCCGTTTACGGCCTGTGTTTGGTCGCTGCTTCCTGATCACCTCGCCGGAATCAGTGTGCCACCCGTCGTGACTCCGCAGTGTTATGTACCGTGCTCGCACTCCTTTCCCTCAGAGCCGGTGTGCCACCCGTGCCTGATGAGTCTGGGCTCCGTGTCTCTTTGGAACAGTACCTATTTGACAGTACCTCCCTGTCCCCAGAGCCGGACCGTGTGCCACCCGTGCCTGATGAGTCTGGGCTCCGTGTCGGCTCTGGAACAGTACCTGTTTAACAGTACCTCCCTGTCCCCAGAACCGGTGTGCCACCCGTGTCTGATGAGTCTGGGCTCCGTCTCGGCTCTGGAACAGTACCTGTTTAACAGTACCCCCCCCCCCCTCAGAGCCGGTGTGCCACCCGTGCCTGATGAGTCTGGGCCCCGTGTCGGCTCTTGAACAGTACCTGTTTAACAGTACCTCCCCCCCCCCCAGAACCGGTGTGCCACCCGTGTCTGATGAGTCTGGGCTCCGTGTCGGCTCTGGAACAGTACCTGTTTAACAGTACCTCCCTGTCCCCAGAACCGGTGTGCCACCCGTGTCTGATGAGTCTGGGCTCCGTCTCGGCTCTGGAACAGTACCTGTTTAACAGTACCTCCCTCTCCCCAGAGCCGGTGTGCCACCCGTGTCTGATGAGTCTGGGCTCCGTGTCGGCTCTGGAACAGTACCTGTTTAACAGTACCTCCCTGTCCCCAGAGCCGGTGTGCCACCCGTGCCTGATGAGTCTGGGCTCCGTCTCGGCTCTGGAACAGTACCTATTTAACAGTACCTCCCTGTCCCCAGAGCCGGTGTGCCACCCGTGCCTGATGAGTCTGGGCTCCGTCTCGGCTCTGGAACAGTACCTGTTCAATGCCGGCGAGGGAGACTACACCGGCGACGACAGAGGTCAGTGACCTGTTAGTACCTGTGGGGCAGAGGTCAGTGACCTGTTAGTAACTGTGGGACAGAGGTCAATGACCTGCTAGTACCTGTGGGACAGAGATCAGTAACCAGTTTGTATCTCTGTGACAGAGGTCAATGACCTGCTAGTAACTGTGGGACAGAAGTCTATATTTATGGGCCTCCTGACAGGTATGGTTGCGGTTGGTGGCAGGCCGTAGCCAGGCGAAGTCAGCGAGGGGACCGGCCGTGCGCGGCTTTGTGCGCACGTAAAACTTTGGACTCTAAATTCTGCCATAGAATCGGAATTGCGCGATCGGAGGGTAGAGGGCAGGGTCATCGCAACAAGCTTTGCTTAGCGGTGGCTCTGTCCTTGTGAATCCTTCCCATCAAAAGGTTCGGACTAAATTTATAAAAAAAAGTCAGTGACTTGTCGGTGTCTGGGTACTCTCAAATGGGACGTGTCCGTATATCAGAAGCTATAGTTTCCCGTTGGTGTTTGTACCTTCAAAAATAGTTTTGTGAGCGGTTTTGTCAGTGTGTGCGGACGCTGCCGGCAGGTGTGTGTCAGTGTGTGCGGACGCTGCCGGCAGGTGTGTGTCAGTGTGTGCTGTGTCAGTGTGTGCGGACGCTGCCGGGCGGCAGGTGTGTGTCAGTTTCTGCAGACGCTACCGGCAGGTTTGTGTCAGTTTGTGCAGACGCTGCCGGCAGGTGTGTGTCAGTATGTGGTGTGTAAGTATGTGCTGTGTCAGTGTGTGCGGACGCTACCGGTAGGTGTGCTGTGTCAGTGTGTACGGACGCTACCGGCAGGTGTGTGTCAGTATGTGCTATGTCAGTGTGTGTTGTGTCAGTGTGTGCGGACGCTGCCGGCAGGTGTGTGTAAGTATGTGCTGTTTCAGTTTGTGCAGACGCTGCCGGCAGGTGTGTGTCAGTATGTGCTGTGTCAGTGTATGTTGTGTCAGTGTGTGCGCACGCTGCCGGCAGGTGTGTGTCAGTTTCTGCAGACGCTGCCGGCCGACCTGCTGGCCTGGCTGCGCGCCGCCGATACTCCTCCCGAGCAGCGCGGTCTGGTAGCCGCCCACCTGCTGGGGAACGAGTCGGCTGCGCGGCTCTGGAGACTGGCCTGCCACCACCTCGGCCGGCGCCGGCCCAGCGCGGTACGTATTCCCCCGTATTCCCCGGCCTAGCCCGGGACTTACTCTCCCGTACTCCCCGACCCAGCGCGGTACGTACTCCCCGGCCCAGCGCGGTACGTACTCCCCCGTACTCCCCCCCCCCCGGGACAGCACGGTACGTACTCGCCCCCCCCCCCCCCAGCCCGGTACGTGCTCTGCGGACCCAGCTCGGTACGTACTGAGCGGACATCGCGGCGGTCAGGAGAAACGTGGACCGATTCCACAGCTGCTCTGCCGGCCGAGATTGCGGTTGGATCTGGGATGCTTACTCCTTCAGTCCTGGCCTCGTGAACCTTGATCCGTGAACTTCTATGGTCTTACACACACATACGTAGTCATGGAAACGCTTCCGTGGGTGTTTGTGTGTTGTGCATTGCCCAACATTTCCAAACTCAGGATGCTAATGAACTCTGAAAGACCACCCAGACTGGCTATCAGTGTGATGTAACTCGTGTACCGCAGATTGTTTCCCAGAAAGCAATTCGGCGCGTCTGGATGATGGTGTGGCTTTATCGCGTTGTGGATGACCTGTGGCGTCCTGTGTCGTACCTCCTCCCCCCTCCTGTTGACCTTCTGACCCGCCATGCCTGTTTTCAGGACGGCAAATACACCGACTTTATCGGACCAGATTTCGATCTGCTCTGCGACTCGGAAATGTATCTGGTGAGTGGGAAAGGGTGGCTTGTGATGACCTGTTCGCACTTCACCACAGATCGAAACGCATCATGAAGTCATTGTTACCTAAGCGTTACTGTGGTGTCTCTGATGCTGCTGTCTGTGGCGCGGCTGCTCCTGTGCCGACTGACCGGTGCGGCATTGGTACCCGTGCTGACGCTGACACCCCCCCCCCCCCCGCCGACAGGAGCAGCTGCGGGACCGGGTGGCGCTGCGGCTGGGTCAGTGGAGACGAGAGTTGACCCCCCCCCCCTCCCTCCACTGACAGGAGCAGCTGCGGGACCGGGTGGCGCTGCGGCTGGGTCAGTGGCCGGCCGCCGGTGCCGCAGACGAGGTGACCCGTCAGCTGGTGGCGCTGGGACAGCCCGAGCGGGCGGCGCAGCTGCTACTGGAGACGGAGCCGGCCGACACGGGCTTCTACACCAACTGTCTGAGGTCAGTGGGACGGACCAGGCATACACCAACTGTCTGAGGTCAGTGGGACGGACCAGGCATACACCAACTGTCTGAGGTCAGTGGGACGGACCAGGCATACACCAACTGTATGAGGTCAGTGGGACGGACCAGGCATACACCAACTGTCTGAGGTCAGTGGGACGGACCAGGCCTAGACCAACTGTCTGAGGTCAGTGGGACGGACCAGAGCTACACCAACTGTCTGAGGTCAGTGGGACGGACCAGGCCTACACCAACTGTCTGAGGTCAGTGGGACGGACCAGAGCTACACCAACTGTCTGAGGTCAGTGGGACGGACCAGGCATACACCAACTGTCTGAGGTCAGTGGGACGGACCAGGCCTACACCAACTGTCTGAGGTCAGTGGGACGGACCAGGCATACACCAACTGTATGAGGTCAGTGGGACGGACCAGGCATACACCAACTGTCTGAGGTCAGTGGGACGGACCAGGCCTACACCAACTGTCTGAGGTCAGTGGGACGGACCAGGCATACACCAACTGTCTGAGGTCAGTGGGACGGACCAGGCATACACCAACTGTCTGAGGTCAGTGGGACGGACCAGGCATACACCAACTGTCTGAGGTCAGTGGGACGGACCAGGCATACACCAACTGTCTGAGGTCAGTGGGACGGACCAGGCATACACCAACTGTCTGAGGTCAGTGGGACGGACCAGGCATACACCAACTGTCTGAGGTCAGTGGGACGGACCAGGCATACACCAACTGTCTGAGGTCAGTGGGACGGACCAGGCATACACCAACTGTCTGAGGTCAGTGGGACGGACCAGGCATACACCAACTGTCTGAGGTCAGTGGGACGGACCAGGCATACACCAACTGTCTGAGGTCAGTGGGACGGACCAGGCATACACCAACTGTCTGAGGTCAGTGGGACGGACCAGGCATACACCAACTGTCTGAGGTCAGTGGGACGGACCAGGCCTACACCAACTGTCTGAGGTCAGTGGGACGGACCAGGCATACACCAACTGTCTGAGGTCAGTGGGACGGACCAGGCCTACACCAACTGTCTGAGGTCAGTGGGACGGACCAGAGCTACACCAACTGTCTGAGGTCAGTGGGACGGACCAGGCATACACCAACTGTCTGAGGTCAGTGGGACGGACCAGGCATACACCAACTGTCTGAGGTCAGTGGGACGGACCAGGCATACACCAACTGTCTGAGGTCAGTGGGACGGACCAGGCCTACACCAACTGTATGAGGTCAGTGAGACGGACCAGAGCTACACCAACTGCCTCAGGTCAGTGAGTCGGACCAGGCCTACACCAACTCTCTCACGTCATTGTATTGAGAGTACATGAGATTCCACGATAAGAATATCAACGTCGTTGACGAGGTGTCAGCAGTGGGTCGTGTGTGGTATGTGGGCGGCAGACTGCCCGTCTCGACCACCACTAACGACTGACTGACCGCCCCTCCCCTCAGGGCGTGTGTGCTGACGTCTGGACCCCGCGCCGGCGACGGCAGCGGCGTGGCCAAACTGGTGGCCACCAGCCTGATCGCCGCCGGACACGTGCACAAGGGTGAGTGTTGCGGACGGGCTCCGCGGCTGGCGGGGGACACCGTGTCGGCTGGCGGGGGACACCGCGCCAGCGGGTGGCGGCCGTGTACCGCTCAGCAGCGGTGCTCCGTCCGATCAGATGTGATGTGCCGTGTTTAAAGATGTCTGTCACCGGCCTTAATATCCTCATCGCCCAGCTGACCGCTGGCAGGCTTTGTCTGACCCAGTCTGACCCTGACGGTCGTCGTCCACCGGCTCTGACGCCGATTGTGCGCCGTTCAGGTGTGGAGATTCTGGTGGTGGCCGGCCAGGCGGCCGACGGCTGCCGCTACCTGCAGGCGTCCGGTCTGTGGGAGGAGGCCCTGCTGCTGGCGCGCTGCCGCCTGGCCGCCGCCGACGCCGCCGCCGTCATCGGAAAACACGCCGACCACCTCATCTCGGTGGGCAGAGAGGTGAGACGACGCCGACCACCTCATCTCGGTGGGCAGAGAGGTGAGACGACGCCCACCGGGCGCTGAAGGCGGTCCCGAGCTCCCGGTCCCGGGGGGACTAGGCTCGGAGACGGACCTAATCCCGCGGTCCTGGGCCCGGAGACAATCCCCCGGTCCTAGAGGTGGGACTGGATCCGGAGACAGACCTAATCCCGTGCTGCCTTGCAAAGGCAAAAACTACCAGACTCTGACTCTGACTCTGACTCAGACTCTGACGTCACATAGTAGTTTTTGCCTTTGCCTGGCAGCGCGGTCGGTGATGGACCGGGTTCGAGACTCCAATACTCATCAAAATAAATATAACATCTCAATAATATTATTCCAAGACATAGAAACGTAAGATTTTGGCTTTGAGCTGGCCTGTGGAGCAGTTGCGTAGCTGTTGACAACATTTCGCATCGAATTGTTTTTTTTAGCATATCTTTCTTTGAATTAACGACTCTTTTGGCCAGCTGGGAACGAATGCGTTTTCCGCCTCTTTCGCTGTGTGTCCGGGTGTATAATGTGTCGGTTTGTCAGTGTTACCGTGTGCGATGTATCGGTGTGTTACCTGTGTGATGTGTCAGTGTGTCACCATGTACGATGTGTTGGTGTGTTACCGTGTGGCTGTGCGATGTGCCGTTGTGTTACCGTTTGCGGTGTGTCACTGTGTTGGGTGTGCGATGTGTCGTTTTTCGGTGTGTGACCGTATGCGATGTGTCGGTGTGTGACTGTGGTGTCTGCTGTGTCGGTGTGTTACTGTTCGATGTGTTGGTTTGCTACTCTGCGATGTTTCAATGTGTATGTGTGACCGTGTGCTACCGTGTGGCGTGGACTGCGATGTGCCGTTGTGTTACCATGTACGGTGTGTCCTGTGTTACCGTGTGTCATGTGTTGGTGTGTTACCATGTGTGCTGTGTCGGCATGTGACCATATGCGATTTGTCGCTGTGTTACTATACTGTGTGATGTGTCGGTGTGTTACTGTACGATTTGTCGGTGTGTGACCGTGTGCCATGTGTTGCTGCGTAACCGTGTGCCATGTGTTGGTGTGTGACTGGGCGGTGTGTCGGTGTGTGACTCTGTGTGATACTGATGTGTCGCTGTGTTGCAGCGCGAGGCCGTGCTGTTTCTGATATCTGCGGAGCAGTTTCCGAGGGCGGCGGAGCTGGTCCGACGGCGCGACGCCCCGCTCCACCGGATTCTGGAGACGGTGGCCGCCCGGGGCTGAGGGCGCCCGCTGACAGAGCGTAGGGGCTCCACCGGATTCTGGAGACGGTGCACACTGGGCCGGGGGTCCGGAAAAGTGCTAGAAATTATTTGTGATTGAGTTGTTGATCTCAGTGACAAGCAAACATGCTAAAAACGAAGTGGGGCTGCTTAACCCTCGCCGGACCTATTGTCGGACCCCCACCCCCACGGCCGGCCGAGGGGGGAGGGTTGGTACGACCACTTTTTGCCGTTTCGCCCCTAATGGAGCTAGAGCCTCGCGGAAAAAACTAGCGTGTGCGCCGTTTCAAGGCGGAACAATCGATACCCGATTTTAAGGTTCCAGGTCAACCGGTAACCTCTGAGGTGAAGTCAAAAAGCCCAAGGTAGGGTTTGTTTTTGGCAAATAATTTCGCAAAAAATGGCCGCAGAGCAGCGATTTTGGCACCATCGTGTTCGTCTGGCTCAGGCGCGTCGAATGGTATACCTTTTGTTCGGGTGAAGTCAACTTAAGGTATTATTGACCTCGAGTCAAGGTCAGTTCAGAGCCCATCAGGCCACGAACTTAATCGAAGGAGGTCGTATCGCATATCATTCGATTCGGGAGGTCTTTCCGAGTCCATTGGTGGCTTTCCCGAGTCGCTGGCTCAATTTGATCATGAGTTATTGACGAGAAACTCCTATGAGCGGTGTGACGTCATAAATGACGTCACGGAAGGTCAAAAATGCAAACGTAAAGCATCGGATCTTGCAAGGAGTGCACGAAATCACGATTCCGTGTGCTTGAGATAGTTTGAAATCATTCCATGCGCAAAAACAACAGTTTCCTTATTTCCCCATTCACTTTTAATGGTGAGGTCACGTGACCTCGAAGAGTAGCAGGCATTAGCAAAAATTGCGAGTAGGGCATGACAGAAAGATGATTGGTGGTTTGTATGGCATGGCCATTTTTAACGGCTCGAAATAACATTTCTCAAAAAGTCTAACTAAAGAGCAAGTTGTTGTTGATTATCACTGACTTGTGTTTAGGGGTTAATTTAATGACTGAATTTTTGAGTTTGGCCCAGAAATGTTGACAGCATTGTGTGCGTTGATCAATTCTGAGCTCAGGGACATATATTTCATTTAGATTATAAGCGTTTGTTTGAGGTGACAATTGCCCCTACATCATGTGGTTTACTGGCGCATATCTCGAAAAGTAGCAGGGAAAAGCAGCAAAGCACCTATATGGAACAAAAGATGAGTAATCAGAGGCTAGTATGAAATGTTCATTTTTAGCCGCTCGAAATAACGTTTTTATAAAAGTCTAATTAAAAAATTGGATATGATTTTAAATTACGTCTTGCAGCTGCTTGCAAACAGCTAGCTTATCTTGCAGAAAAGCGATGCAATATGTCAGAATGATGTTGGCACAGTGAACAACAGTGCCCTGAACTAGTCTGACAGGAAATTTCGTTCAAAACGACGATTGGTCAACTAATAAATTACCACTAAAGTTCATCATTAAAATCGGTAAATGTGGTGGCCTCTAGAGAGTCTAAATTGTCTTGTGTTTGGTGACAACTGACGACCTCAAATTTGACCTTAGGGCAAAACTAGCATCGGAATCGTATTCTTCGATCAATTTGGGATTAAATGATACCTATTTTGTTCATATTGCTGATAGTCAGTTTGGGGGATTTTCTAGCGCTTTTTCAGGCTGCCGGCCTACAGTGCGGTGGCCGCCCGGGGCTGAGGGCGCCCGCTGACAGAGCGTAGGGGCGCCCCGCTCCACCGGATTCTGGAGACGGTGGCCGCCCGGGGCTGAGGGCGCCCTTCCAGTCCGGGGCGCCCCGCTCCACCGGATCCTGGAGACGGTGGCCGCCCGGGGCTGAGGGCGCTGATGGCGGTGTGTAAGGACGACCTCCCCTGCATACCAAACACGTGAGCATAAGGCTGACTGGATAGCCCGGTAGCGAGTTACCAGTGTGAGAAAGAAGCGATCGAAAGGAGCAATGTAAATTATCTATTGCACTGTCGCTCTATTTTCAATACAGTGTGCTCCCTGTCATGAACGAGTGGTTCTTTTCATGCAGATATGATTGAAATGTGCATTTTGTGAATCGTCTGAATGGGCACCAGACTGCCTGTACTGCGCTGATGGCAAAACTGAACCAGTCCGGCTAGCTGGTCCCGCCGGGGGCCTAGCCCGGTTAGCTGGTCCCGGCGGCGACCACCGCGACGCTCGACGTAGCCCTTCGGTTATCGATTGTGAATGGCTTATTGTCCAAATCAGGGGTTGTTGTGTTTGCTGATTTCATCATTACCATAGTTTATGCCTACGTATGGCTATAATGATAACGTGTGGCGTGTGCGCCGTCCCCTGCTCTTGTGGTCGGGATCGGTTGCGGTGCGGTGCTCGGTGTGCTCGCTGTGTGCGCTGAACTCTGCCGGTAGCCGGTCCGCCGTCGGGTCTGTGTGTGTCCGATCAGACGGCCCGCTGTTGGTCATTGTGTGCCGGATCAGAATGTGTCGGATCAGACGGCCAGACGGCAGTCACTGTTCGGTACGTACTACCACTGATAGTGGTGTTGGCTGCTTGGCGTCAGACATTCACGCCGAGTGTGTGATGCGGCATATTATTGCAATATTGTTATTGCATCCGTAGAGCTATTAGCTTCGAGTACGCAGATATGGCTGGGAATCAAACTAAAATAACCGCTAATTGAGCCATATTTTTATACGCTTGGGTCGTGTTACCACATTCCGGAGCAAGCAGCTTTTCCTGGTGGCATTGTCAAGTGTTAGTGTATATGCATTATTACGCCGCGTATCCGGATATAGTTGTTGTTGTTGTTGTTTGACCCCCCGGCTACCGCCGGAGCGGTAGCGTAGCCGACCGGCTCTTGTGGGCCATGTATCCGGCGGCCAAGGCCGCCACCACGTCGTCGCGCCGGACATCGTGGGCCGCGCCGATGATGTTGCCCAGCGCACGGAGCCGGGGGCCGTACAGGCACGGGCATTCCAGCAACACGTGCGCCGGGGTGTCCGCTGCTTCAGAGCAGACTAGGCAGCGGCCCGCAGGGCATTCCTTGTCGTCGCATTGAGCGCACTCAGGTGTAGGTCTTCGACCAATCCGGTGGAGGTACTGCTCCGATCGGGCCCAGTGGCCAGACCGGAGCTGGTGGATGTCGACGGCCTCCTCCCTGGTGGCGGTCCGGACCGGGGCGGGGGCGCGGTCCCCCATGACGGTGCGGTACCAACCGGCCGGCCAGTCCGCCTGCCACTTCCTCTTGGAGTGCCGCGCGACAGCCCGCGTAAGAGTACGGACATCCACCGGCGTTGACTGCTGAGGAAGAGCGGCCGCCTCCTTGGCCAGGGCGTCCGCTCTTTCATTACCGGCGAGCCCACAGTGGGCCGGGACCCATTGCAGCGTGACCGTGCTGCCGTCGGCCGTCATGCGCCGGAGCTGGGCCCACAGCCTGGCGCCCAGTGTCGAGGCCTGGGCCGCAGCGCCTCCAGCCAGGAGCAGCAGAGCCGCCTTCGAGTCCAGGCAGGCGACTACAGGCACTCCTCTGCAGCCCGGCAGCTCGGCGGCCGCCTCCAGAGCTGCCAGCAGCGCGGTGAGCTCCGCGCGGGTGCTGGAACAGAAGCGGCCCGCCGGCACCCGTACCTCCAGGTCGTCTCCGTTTGGTGGGCGGAGCAGCGCGCCGCCGCCACCGTTCTCCACGCCGCCCTCCGCCGAGCCGTCCGACCAAACCCATACGGCCTCGGGCGGGAGCTCTCGGATGCGCTCCTCCGCCGCGGCTCGGCGGGTCTCTGCAGATATCGCGCGGCTGGCTCGCGGACCGAGGTCCAGATGGAATTGGACGGCAGTACTGTCGGTCCACGGCGGCAGGGAGTGGTGTAGTCGGGTCTCCACTGGGATGTCTTTAGCCCCGGCGGCTGACAGCGCAGCGAGCCCCACCTCTCTCCATCCCTCGGTGGTACGTAGTCGGCGCGGGACGACCGCTTCACCCACTGTCCTCAGCGGGTCGCCCTCCGGGAGGGACGCGGCGAGGCCCACCATTCTTGCCGCTAGCGTCACGCGGCGGGACCGCGCGTCTGCCATCCCGGCCTCCGACATTAGGGCGTGGACGGGCGTAGACGCTGCGCAGCCTGTCACCACACGGGCCGCGGCACGCAGCTCTCTCGCTATGATCTCCACGTGTGTTGGGGGGGGTCGCCGGCAGCCAGGCGGCTGCACGGTATGTGATTCGGTATCATGTGATGAACAATGAATTGACCCATGGGTGGGTTATGCGGCTATGACCTTGTTGCTGTGTGTGGGTGCATTTATTTTAGAAATTACCGACATTCGACAGTTGTCTCGGAGTATGTCCAACATATGAAGAAGTATTTAATATATGTGTGTGTTTTCAAAGTGCCTTTTCATCGGTCTCCGTTTTAACCGAAACTTTATGCCGTTTGGTTTAACCTATACTATAGGTATTAATCTTTGATGTTTTATTGTAGTGTGTCGCCCTTCAGTTTTCTTATTAGCGTTCTAGGGAAAGGTGTTACAATAGGATTACCAAGTGCTTGTACTGGTCGCGCCCTCGTAGATCTTCTACATACCTACATAGTTTACGAACTGCGGCTTCGTTTGTCGGATGTTGCCGTTCTCAGTCGTAAATCTTATATTTGTCCCCGTCGAGGCCATTTTGACATTAGCGAAAATGTCAGAACATATTTTGACGGTTTTTAAATGTCGTGTACCGCTTCTTGGCATATCGCTGAGTTACCGAGGTCTCCGTAGGCAGGTATCCGTCTCTGCCTGTGCATAGCTGGCTCAGATCCGTCTGATCTGACCACGTGTTAGCGATAGAGCTGAAAAGGGACACATATGACCATGAGAGAGCTGATCTCACAAGTCACCATTCTCATTGACCTGAGACCTGACGCCTCCCTAATCGATAGGTTGTGTCCTCAGGCATTTTTTTCGGGAGGTAACTAAACTATTGTATATACCACGCTTAACCCGCGAGTTGCTGGGGGGGGGGGGGGCGTTAAACGCCCCCACTTTTTTCGCCGGGCCATAGCATAAAAACGGCGCGCCACAGGCGCGCCAAATTTTGGGTACCTGTAGGGAATTGATCGAAGTTTATTGTGACAAAGTTTCAAAAAATCGGTCGGAAAATTTTTGAGATATCGAGGTTTTAGCGACGTCATGATTTCTGAGTTTTCGACCAAAAACGGCATATGTTCAAAAAATCATATAAAATCACAGAATAGACATACAGACATGCCGTAAACGCCATTAGACTGCCAATACCATGAACAATCAAATGGCTATCTTCGATTATTGATTATCGTTCCGCATTTTCCAAAATCTTGAACTGAATCTTGGCAATTTCTCGTGACTACATCACGACCATGATACATGCATTTCTTAAATTGAACCTTTTTAGCCAAACACGTACACATATGATAAAATGAATGTCACCATCGTGTTCTATGCCCCAAATTACCCATAAAACATGTGTCACAGGCTGCGAATATCAGTTTTTATTTTCGGGGATATGTGCCTGCCCGGTTGACCTGACCTTGACCCTGACCTATGCTTGACTGACCCCTGCATGGAGCTGACACTCTTGTAGGCCTTATATGATGGATTGTGCACCGTTTTGACAGAGTTTATAACGAGAGACGCCCATTGCGAAGTCCTGAAGTCCATGCTACTGAAAGCCCGATTTCAGGTGTTTGACCTGACCTTGACCTGACCTGTGACCTCAAAATTCAACTTTAAAGTACTCATCTGAAGCGTCTCGTCGCGTTCTTTCGTTTGCCGCCTCGTGCGTTTCGCTGCGCCTATTGGTTCTCGAGTTATCGGCTGGGGGCGTTTAACGCCCCTCCCCAGCAAACGGTGGGTGGCGAAATACCCCAGCAACTGCCGGGTTAAATTTACCGTACCCAAGGCCCTAAATACAACCGTACCTAAATTTTGATTTAAGCCGAATCTTTCGCCCCTCCAGCCTGCTCCAGCCACGAACCGCTATCTCGGGTCAGGTCGGGTTAATCACATGATCTCCCCATTATAACTCGATGAGATATAGAGGTACCGCGATAAAAGGCACGGAAACTGCATTTAAGCGCCGCAAATGATCCAATCCTCCCTCCAACACTTATTTATTTTATTTTGAGTTCGTCAGCTCAGGCCCTTAGTTCAGCGGAGTTTGATAGCCGATGTCAAATTTTTGCGTCGAGGTCATTTCATGTCATCGGTACTAGACGGCGCCGTCTCCCGACTAAATTGAAATCGCGACTTTTTTACAGTCGAGAACGGTAACAAAAGATCAGAATCGTTGAATCGAATGATATGCGTGAAGAACATCCTTGACGAGCTTTCTCAAGTTACCGGATTGACCTGACCTTGACCTGAGGTCACTTACCCTCTGATGCGGCGGGACATAGGTACCTATGGCAGGGCGACGGGCGGCGCTAAATCGCTCTCGTGTAAAACGCAGTTCACACTTGCCCGTAAGGTCTGCCGGTGACGGGCCCGACACCGTCAAAACGGCCGAAACCGACGGAGCGAGGTAGGCAGACAACTGAACCAGTGACAACTGAACCAGGGACAACTGAACCAGTAAAACTGAACCAGGGACAACTGAACCAGTGACAACTGAACCAGCGACAACTGAACCAGTGACAACTGAACCAGTGACAACTGAACCAGTGACAACTGAACCAGCGACAACTGAACCAGTGACAACTGAACCAGGGACAACTGAACCAGTGACAACTGAACCAGTGACAACTGAACCAGTATGACAACTGAACCAGTGGACAACTGAACCAGTAGACAACTGAACCAGTGACAACTGAACCAGTGACAACTGAACCAGTGACAACTGAACCAGTGACAACTGAGCCAGTGACAACTGAACCAGTGACAACTGAACCAGTAGACAACTGAACCAGTGACAACTGAACCAGTGACAACTGAGCCAGTGACAACTGAACCAGTGACAACTGAACCAGTGGACAACTAAACCAGTAGACAACTGAACCAGTGACAACTGAACCAGTGGACAACTGAACCAGTAGACAACTGAACCAGTGACAACTGAACCAGTGGACAACTGAACCAGTGGACAACTGAACCAGTGACGACTGAACCAGCGAACAACTGAACCAGTGGACAACTGAACCAGTGGACAACTGAACCAGTGTACAACTGAACCAGTGGACAACTGAACCAGTGGACAACTGAGCCAGTGGACAGCTGAACCAGAAACAATTATAATGTCGTACTGCGCTGTATAGGTATAAGGTAGCGCGTGGCTGGACGGACGGACTGTACCAATCTGCCGGTCTGCCAATTGATCTGTGTCAGTGTCCGTCCGAGAGCCGTACGATGGCTGACAGGGCTGACAGAGCCTGGTGGTCGCGAACTGACCGTTGTTACGCCCACCTGGGACGCCCGAATAGTTAGCAACGTATAAATAATATTCACTTTGATGGCGTAACTCGGGACAGACAGGGCATGTAACGTGGGCTTGGCAGAGTTCAGCCCGCTTGGGCCCAGAGGAATCTCCGGTATATAAATGGATTGACTGCTCGGGCTTACATCGGGCTTGCGCCAAACGTCGCACAGCTAGGGCGTAACTACGGCTGTCCTGAGCTCGCCGAGCGCGCATACCTCCGGCAGAGCATTGGCTTTAGTCGGCGTTTTCGAGTCATACGCCGACTTTCGCCCGACTAAAAATCTCGGGCAAGCCTCACTTCAGCCTGCTTGGGCCCGGAGTAAAATTGCTGGCTGGGCTACTGGTTCAGTTGTGACTGGTTCAATTGTCAATGGTTCAGATGTCTCTGGTTCAGTTGTCACTGGTTCAGTTGTCACTGGTTCAGTTGTCATACTGGTTCAGTTGTCACTGGTTCAGTTGTCACTGGTTCAGTTGTCACTGGTTCAGTTGTCACTGGTTCAGTTGTCCACTGGTTCAGTTGTCCACTGGTTCAGTTGTCCACTGGTTCAGTTGTCCACTGGTTCAGTTGTCCACTGGTTCAGTTGTCTACTGGTTCAGTTGTCCACTGGTTCAGTTGTCCACTGGTTCAGTTGTCACTGGTTCAGTTGTCACTGGTTCAGTTGTCACTGGTTCAGTTGTCACTGGTTCAGTTGTCTACTGGTTCAGTTGTCTACTGGTTCAGTTGTCTACTGGTTCAGTTGTCTACTGGTTCAGTTGTCCACTGGTTCAGTTGTCCACTGGTTCAGTTGTCACTGGTTCAGTTGTCCCTGGTTCAGTTGTCACTGGTTCAGTTGACACTGGTTCAGTTGTCCCTGGTTCAGTTGTCCCTGGTTCAGTTGTCACTGGTTCAGTTGTCCCTGGTTCAGCTGTCACTGGTTCAGTTGTCACTGGTTCAGTTGTCACTGGTTCAGTTGTCCTGGTTCAGTTGTCACTGGTTCAGTTGTCATGGAACCACGGCCGTCAGGTCGACGGGCATGTGGCGTATATATCTTTCCCGAGCGAAAAAAACAAACATTCCAGTTTTTTGGCGCTTTTGTTTCAATTATGGTGGTTCTGTTCGAAGGCTCATACAGATGGTGTTTGCGCAAAATTTCTAACGGAAAATCACCGACTATTTAGTGTCGACAGCTGCATATTAACTTTTTGAACACGCCTCCATCACTGCTTGTTTATTGGCTGTCCGTGGTATTGGGATTTGGGCTGTGTTGCTGTATATACCGTGTGTTGCTGGGTGATTGTGATAATATTCTGATGATTAACCTTTTTATTCAGCGGTAGAGACCCACAAGTTGACTCCATTATAAATATTGTCTCTTTATCATGAAACAGACTCAGAAACCTTGGCATGAATGCTCTCAGGCTCTCAAGAGAATGTTGAAATTCAGGTCTCAAAAGATTAAAATTACAATAATGAAATGTTTCACCTACCTTCCAAGCCATAAACACTCATATTGGTACTGGATGGAACTTAAAATAAAAAAGAGGGGTGGATAATTAGGGGTTTGTAGCACCCCCTGGGATTTTCCACCAATGAAGTAGGTACCTATATGCTGCAGAGACCAGGGCCCTGTTTCACCGTTGATAGCAGCATGCTACTATCAAATTGCGCGAGCTGACGTAATGTGATGAGGTCACACTTATGACGTTTCGTGTAATCTGTGAGCTGCGTTTGGAACAGAGTTGCTGTTTCGTTGAATGCGATGTGTTTGATCGCACGACCGTGAAGCTGTTGGCAGCAATGTTTGATGACATCACACAGATTGACGGCGTCATGGTTTGCTGATGTTTCCGTGGAAACCCAATTTGACACGTGTGATAGCAGCGTGCTGCCATCACCGGTGAAACAGGGCCCAGAATAGCATGGTCTGTGTTGCACATATTGATGCTGAAGCTATACCTACAAATGTCTTTCAGATAACCTACTGAGTGTTCACATTCATCACAAATGCAGTCATTCTCCGGTATATTACATCTGATGTGCTGGGCATCATCAATGTCAGGTATGCACCCTTTACTTTTTTCCTATCATGCATCAGTGATGCATCCAATGTCTGAGTTCCTAAGTAGAACATATGCTATTTTCTCACCAGAACTGTAGTGTGTACTCCATAAGAAAAATGCTAATTTTGCTGAATTTTGCTCTGAATTTGCTGAAAAATGCTGAAGCAGTTGCTGACGGAGGGCGAGCGCTACCTGATGACCGCCTTCCACCTGCTCGACTTCTCCGAGCAGGGCCTGTACGACGTGGTGGCCAACCTGGGCAGCCTGGCGGCCCGCTTCCTCTTTCAGCCAGTCGAGAAGAACGCCTACGTCTACTTCTCGCGCACAGTGGAACGGGGAAAGGTAGGTGGCAACGTGGCTGATTGTGTGGTAGGAGGTGATTGATGTTAGTTTTTTTTTGTGTTTTTTTTTACTGAGGAGTAGTGGCATTTGGTGAAAATATCAGTAACGTTGACCACAGTGTGTCGATGCCCGGTAAGGCGCCGAAAAAGCTGTAAGCACACACTCCTCTGATATTAGCCAATTATACTCGTAGCTACTCTTCATCTCCGCTATAAGTCCTTACTGCCAGTCGTTGTGATCTTCATCTTGGTGTCTTTTTTGTCATTCGGTTTGTTTTATTGCCCAGCTTCTATCCTTCTGGCCATCTCTCCCCTTCTCGCCAGTCACTGGAAGGGGACAGTTTGGCACCTCTCCTCCAGCCGGTGCCTGACAGCTCCCTCCCCCTCCAGCCGGTGTCTGCGGTGGCGGGCCGGGCCGGGTGCTACACGACCTACTCCGCGCTATGAGTCTGACCCTACCCCCTCTCCCTGCAGCCGGTGTCTGCCGCGGCGGGCCGGGTTCTGCACGACCTGCTGCGCGCCATGAGCCTGCTCGGTCTGGTTGCCGTCACGTTCGGCTGGAGCTACCCCCCCCCCCCCTGCTGCTGCGGCTGTACGGCGGCGCCCTGCTGGCCGCCGGTCCGGCCGTCAGTTTGCTGCGCGCCCAGTGCGCCTACGTGCTCCTACTGGCGGTGAACGGAGTGCTGGAGTGCTACACGTTCGCGGTGATGCGCCAGGAACAGATCAATGGGTAAGTGCCGTGGAGGGTTTATGGAAAGCAGTCGGGAAATGGTCGGTGGCTTAGTAAGGAGTGAGGTAAATTAGTCGGTAGAGGCTGAGCGGATTAGGAAATGACGTTCTCATGTTGGTTTTTGTTGTTAGACTGCCTTTTGCGGCTAAAGGCGAAGTAGAAAGGCTGGCCAGTTGTGTCGATAAAGTGAAGCTAGGAACGCTACTATCGGGCGCTTTGACAGGTGTTGTGGCGTTTTCCGGTGTTTCAGGTATAACCGGAAGATGGTGCTGCTATCTGTGATATTCGTCATCTCGACAGGGATCTTTACTAGGCTATTCGGCGGGGTTGGATTTATCCTCGCCAACTGCGTCAATATGCTGACCAGGATATACGTTTGGTGAGTTTTTGTGTTTTTGAATAGATTTGATTTGTCCTAATTGGTCTAATTATTTACATCATTATCCAATCTGTCATGGATAGTCAATATCACGCTTTATCGCCGATCTCGATATACTTGGATCTCGTTACTTCACCCGTCCACGACTGATACGAATGTCTGCTGTCCCCAATAGTGTCCTGCACCCCTCTCAATTGTCATCCCGTCCCCTCCCCGTATGCTGCTGGTTCCCGATACAGTGCCCCGTGCCACTCTCAACCATCATGTCTTCGTCCCATTTTCTGCTGCTGCTGCCCGCTCGCCCCGTCCAGTGTGTTGCTGGCGCTTGATGCAGTGTCCCGTACCCCTTTCACCCTGTCCCCACCCCGTGTGTCGCTGATGCCCGATACAGTGTCCCGTACCTCTCTCACCCTGTCCCCGCCCCGTGTGTCGCCAGTTACCGGTTCGTGGCCGGTCTGCCGCTGGAGCCGGCGGTGTCCGTGCCGCCGCTACTCGGTCTCCGCCCGCCGCCCGCCGTGGCTGCCGCGCTGGTGACCGCCGGCCTGCTGGCAGCCGGCTCCGAGAGCTGGCTGTACCCCAGCTCCGCCGCCGCCCATGTGGCTGTGGGCGCGCTCTGTGGGGCCGCCGTGGTGGCCGCGGCGGTGTACAGCGAGCTCCGCCTCCTCCAGGCGGTCAGGGAGCGGGTCGGGGATAAACTGAAGCGCAGCTAGCGGGGAGTGCTACTCACATGGTCATGCAGGGAATAGGTTTGTTTTGTTGTGATATTTATGTGCATTTTGGGTTGAATATACACCGTGCCTGTAAGTAGAGTGGATGTATCAATTTTAAGACTAGTGCGACTGCAGGGGGCGTTGTGGCTATCGCCCATTTGAGAGCTGGACAGTGCTTGAAAGCAACTTCCTACCCATGAATTTTGGCATTCAGATCCTAATTATAGCCATCTGTGATGAACGATGCAGGGGATGCAGAAAATCGATGCAGAAAATCGTGGCCGGTTAGCGTCTGGTGGGGCTTGTAGGCTAATGATGGGCACGACCGGGTGCTGTATGCTATATGTGGTGACAGCAGCGTTCCTGAGCGTCAGGTGTATCTCTTGCTCTGAAGTCCAGAAGTCCTTATCGTTCTTGTGCATTCACTTTGTCAGTGCCTGATGTCAGTGTCAGTGTTTGTCAGTGTTTCATTCTGTAGCAGACATGCAGTCATATTTGGTTAAATAGAACCTTGCAGTCTGAGGCAGTCTTTTCATTACAGTACCTCATTACAGCGTCTCATTCATTACAGTTCAATATTTAGAAATGCAAGACATTGGGGCCGATCGGGCATAGAAATACAAAACAACAGTATACGCTCGCTGGCTATTATTCTGAGACTCAGCATTGAACCTGCCATCACTACAATACAGGAGGCGACAGGTGTAGAGGTGATGTCATAGGTACTCATTTATCAAGTTCAAGTTCTGCTGACTTGACCCACAAGTTGACTCCATTATAAATATTGTCTCTTTATCATGAAACAGACTCAGAAACCTTGGCATGAATGCTCTCAGGCTCTCAAGAGAATGTTGAAATTCATGTCTCAAAAGATTAAAATTACAATAATGAAATGTTTCACCTACCTTCCATTGCCATAAACACTCATACTGGTACTGGATGGAACTTAAAATAAAAAAACAGGGGTGGATAATTAGGGGTTTGTAGCACCCCCTGGGATTTTTAGAATTATCTACCGCTGAATAAAAAGGTTAATCATCAAAATATTATCACAATCACCCAGCAAAACACACGGTATATACACTATACAGCAACACAGCCCAATACAACAGACAGCCAATAAACAAGCAGTGATGGAGGCGTGTTCAAAAAGGTAATATGCAGCTGTCGACACTAAATAGTCGGTGATTTCCCGTAAGAAATTTTGCGCAAACACCATCTGTATGAGCCTTCGAACAGAACCACCACAATTGAAACAAAAGCGCCAAAAAACTGGAATGTTTGTTTTTTTCGCTCGGGAAAGATATATACGCGGGCATGTGTGAACCGGCAGCGTTTGACGGCCGGCAACAGCTGACTGCGCCGGCGCCGGACCTGACGGCCGTCGCTTTGGAAAGTTCAGCAATGTTCAACTTTTGACGGTGACGGGCCCGTCGGTTTGAATGTCTGCGTGTTGGAGGAAGAGGAAAAGGAACGTTATCATGCAGCATGAAGCTTAAATGCATTTTTAAGATAATTGATATCATTTTCTATCCATTTGTCGAGAAGAAAGTGTTTATTACGGCACGATATCTTGAGATTCGCTCCCTGCTTTAAGTAAGCGAACCGATGTGTCTTTCGTTAAAATAAAATTGCAGCATTGTTTGACATAAAAATGTAAAAGCGTGGTATTTTATTTCTGTAATTCAAAGAATATTTTTAACTTCTCGGCTTCTACCCCCCCCCCCCATCCCCTTCCCCCATCTGCGTCCATCTCGAAAATGGTGCGCCATTTCTGTCACAACATGTGGCAGCCAATGGGAGCTACCAAATCTCAACTTTCGTTTGACGGGCTGCAGGCCGTCAGGTCGACGGTGACGGGCCCGACACCGACAGACTGACGGTCATGTGTGAACTGCGTTTAACCATTTTCAAAGAAGCCATTAACCAACTACCGGACCGGACTCCGAAATGTGTCCCGTTTGAGCCAAGGTCATCCGATAGGCCCCGTGTGTAGGTACCCCAGCGGCCAGCCCCGCCCCCTTTCCGTCCGTCAGTTGTCTGCTCTCGCGCCTGCGCACTGCTCTCCGGCCAGCTGATGCTGCTCCCGGCGCCGGAGCTCAGTGGCTCAGTGACAGTTATGGCGCTGACGGGTCAGGTCTGCTCCCGCGCGGTCACAGGAGCGATCGGCATAGGATTGTTACGTGGGTTTTTGTATTTTGTGGTCGTAGGGAGCGCGTGCGGTAGGGTACTCAGTGATGAATCATTGTCAGAAGCAGTTTTTGGAGCACGGGATGAACAGGTCAGAGAGGTCGAGCATCACCAACTCGGTACGGATGACCTTGACCTGGGACCTGACATCGACATCAGACTCTTTGCTGAGGAGTTTGCTGCACCGAAATTTCGTCAGCTAGCATTGACTGAAAGTGTGAAGAACAAAGGAGAAATTTGTTCAGTAAGTGAGCTTCAATCTGTGCCAGTGAGAACTCATGGTGTATTTGGAAATGCTTCCTCTGGTGATGTGAGAAATGGACAGGGAATGGTGGTTGGACGAAGTGGCTGCACAACATCATATCACTTGTGTGCATGGGAGGCAGACAGCGAGAAAGGACATTTAGACTGGATTCATCTTGGAAAACATTCCGTCATTGACATAGGACATCTGTGCAGCAGCGATGACCTCGACAGTTCAAGGTGCGTGGCATTGTTTATTCACTTTTTCAGTCGGGCACACTGTGGTATTTCCGATCCATTTATGGAAACGTTTCCATTTTTGGAACAATGTTCCAAAAATGGATACGCCGTTTCCAAAAATAGAAACGGTCTGTTCCATAAATGGAGACGCTGTGTGCATCGCTACCTTTAAAGCAAACTGGGCATTGATTGGTGCAATTTGGCATGCGCAGGATGCCACCAATCGACAGCCAGCATTCTAGTTTATGTTCCTGTTCTCCGACTTTCCGATCAAAAAACCGAAAGTTGACGAACGAGGCGATGCTTATAACATGTTGACGTGATAAAAAAATTCACACGTTTTTCTAATAGAAAATAATAACATTTATGAATGTTTTGAACAAAAAATAACGTTTTTAACAGACTACTGAAAGACTGGCCCATTGATTGGAACAACCACATCACCGGGAACTTCAAATTTTCATTCATTTTCACGCTGCATTTTCCGGTGTACCAGCGGCCTGGTGGTCGTCAATCTTTGATTAAATCGGATTAAATCGCATGAAAGTTGTTGCAAAGCCCTATTTGGAGACTTAAGTGGGCATTTTATGATATTTCAAATGTGCTGAATGTGATCGTAGGCTCGGATCAATGTAAATATCCGTGCAAATACGCAAAAAGCAGGATGGAAATAAGGTCTGCACCGTCGTCACGCCAAATACCGTTGTATTCTGACGATGAATGTATTCATTCTAGTTCATGTGTAACATTGATATTAATTTTATATATTGAGATGATATCTACGCTTTATGTATTGCCCACTTTGGACCACATCTGTCCAGTAGTTTCTAGGAAATCTTAGTTTTAGTTGACTTTTGAATGTGCTCAAGTTGCGGCGCGTAATTTATTATTATCGAACCTGACGTCCAAGGTAACTGCCGAGTGCCGAGATGCTAAACCAGTCCCAAAACATCAAATTTTCAGTTGCATGTGAATTTTAAAAACACATTTAAGCTAAGTTTGCACACATTTGAACTTCAGCGTTTCTATTTTTGGAACATCGGCGTTTCCATTTTTGGAAACTAAGTCTCCATAAATGGATACGATTCAGGAGCATTTTAAAGACGTGAATTTGAATGCGTACGACAGCTTTCCATGCAAGAAGACAAGTGCTTATGGTGTATCTGAGGTTGTTTTACGCGAAACAGTTGTTATACATCAAATCCAGCCACCCTTGGCAAGAAAGTATGTGCGGACATGTTAGCGTTTCTATTTATGGAACGAGCGTTTCCATTTTTGGAACAGAAGAGTAGTCAAAATTGGAAACGTTTCCAATAATAGAAACGTCTCCATAAATGAATCGGAGATACCACAGTGCGCCCGACTGTTTTGGAACGGCATAGGTGAGCTAGGCTACTTTATATGGTGCCTATCAACTGATATGAGTGTATGTTGTGCATGCTGTAGGCATTAACTTTGCAGCATTTTCAGGACTGACCAGGAATTTGAATAGCCTTACCTTGTTCTTACCTACATATCTCATCCAACAAGCCATTTATTATTTGGAATTAAGCTCAGTGAAGTATCTGGTTTCAAAGGACAACTAAGATATATTGACCTACTTATTGAATTTAAGATAATAAAATGATTATGCACTGTTTTCATTCATTTGACAGCTGTTATCTATAGCTATACCTTTGCACCTTTGTTTGGAATCACATGGCCCTTCCAGCTTACAGGCATCCTTTAAGATTGCCCTGTAAGATTGTGCAGCATGACTCCTGATATCAAATGTTTCAGATAGGTAACCAACATAGGGGCTGGATTTCATATTGTGCTAAAAGGTTTGAACTCTGTAATTGTAGTACAAATTGTGGATTGCTGGAAAGATGTAAGCACTTACTCCTAAGCATATCTTTGAAACAAGCTGGAGGATTTCTAGAGGATGACTGGAGGACTTATCAACCTGAGACCTTCTAGAGGAGTATTGAAAGCTGGGACCATTGCCCCTTCAGGCAGACCAGTTGCAGTTTGCTGGAACAGTACCTCTGGGAATGTGAGACTTCTGTCACTGAGTCAGCTGGAAGGTATCATTTTGGCAATGGCTGCTGTACAGAGCTGTGGCCATATGATCTCTTTGACCTGAGCTCAATTCAAATGGTAGAATACACCATGACCCGTGACCGGAATCATGGAATGTGCCTACCACTAGTAAAAAAGGTCAGTTGCCTCAATCAAGATCTGATAGTGTCAATCCGACTATGTCAGACTATGTCAAGTCCTGTCCCCAGATGTCATGCATTTTTGTGATCCACTGGGAAGGCTTCCCTCCAAGACCTTATTGTACTACCCACAATCAGTTGGTGATTGGACAATGGACAATGCAGAGAGTTAGACAGGAAATGTCAGAGAGGAAACCCTGATTGATTGAGCAGTTTTACCATAAGGCCTAGAAGGTGTTAATGAATTGGAGAAAAGTGCTGGGGAAAGTATCTGTGGATGGTACAGCTCTTCTAAGTACCTACCCCTGCCGGCCCCATCAGTTTTCCACACATACTTTGGCCAAAGTGTGTGTGGGGGGGGGGGGTAGGGGGGGGGGGATTACGATCCCTCGCCGTTTCGTTCATAATTGAGCTCTTGCTTCACGGGCTGATTTAGCGGGTTGGCAGTGTGGCAGTGGCAGAGGCACGGCTAATGGTATCAATTACATTTCATGTCAATTACTGTTGACCTGCGAAAATGGCGATGTCAGGGGAACGACCAAAAGGGCGGTTTCTCTTCTCGTTTCTCGTCAATATCTTGGGCGAAAAATTATGCAGAAGAACTACCTATTTTGGTATCATTGCGCCTGTCATGTCAAGGCGCTTCCAAAATAAAATGTAGTTTTTGTAGGTCGATTTACTCTGGCCGAACTGTATCGGTTTTCTGCAATCGACCCGTAGGAGGATTGGATGAGGTGGTGGACCTCCTCGGCGTTTCGCCCCTAATTGAGCTGGAGGCGAGAGTCTCGCGGAAATAACTACAGTGCGGGCGCGCCGTTATGAGACGCAGCGACTGGTACCCAATTATAAGGTATCGGTTAACCGATGACCTCTGAGGCCGGGCAGGGGCCGGTGGTAGTTGCAGGGGCTCGGTTTTTAGTGAACAACTTCGCTAAAAATAGTCACAGAGCCGCAATTTTGGGACAGTCGTGTTTGTCATGACCATGCGCGTCGAATGATGTGTTGTTTGGTTAGGACAGGTCAGCTTAGGGTGTTGACCTCAGGTCAAGGTCCGACCACAGTGGAGACTGTGGCAAGGTCACAGTCTCCCAGATCATGGAGCTGGTCGAAGGAGGTCATATCGCATATCATTTGATTCGACAGGTCTTCCTGAATCTAGTGGTGGCCTTGTCCACTCGCCAGCCCAATTTGATCGAGCTGCCGACGAAAAACTCCGATGACCTGAGTGGCGTACTACACGTGACGTTACTAAGGTCAACAATGCAAAGGGTACTTAGTTAAAGGCTACTTACTTAAAGGTTAAAGGTACTATCAGGTTAAACAATAATTGCATGAAATCACGATTTCATCTGCTTTTGAGAGTTTTCTATCATTTTAACCCCCCCCCCTCCCAAAAAAAAAAGAATAGTCATTTTCATATTTCATTTTCCTCCATGGCTTATAAATGTAATGGTGAGGTAACGTGATCTAATTTAAAGGTCACCATTAGACCCGTTTGAAAGAACGTCAAAAATAATGGCGAAATTAATTCCGTCAGTTATTAAGTCAGGTCTAAGGTCAGGTCGCCGGAGGCCATCGAAGGTCAAATTTTGTCAATACCCAGGTCAAATTTCGACAATTTTCGACAAACTGGCGTATAATTCGAAAACGGATGCAGCTACAAAGCCCCAGGAAAGCGCATTTGATAACCCTGTTAACGCTCTTTCTGTGCACTGGCTTTAGATTTGACCACAAAGGTCAACGGTTTCGCCTGCAGAGTGCAAAAACTGCCAAAGTTGAAACATATTATTGTTGCTGAAACGCTTTTTCTGCAATAACTTTGGATTCAAAGCTTGCACGAGCTCACTTTTACCGGCATCGTGTTCCTCTCGTCAAGACGCGTCGAATGAACTATACTTTGCCCTTGAAAAGTCAACTTGAAAATTTGACCGCAGATCAAGGTCATGACCTGACTGGAAAAGGTCGTGTTGGATATCAATCGATCCGTATCGTCAAGCTGAACATATCTAAGGTATTTTCATCGCTCTAACATGCCTCTATCAAAAGTTATTTGCGAAAAAAACTGTTGCATAGGTACCTTTTGTAGCCTGAGATGACCTAAGGGACATCAGGAGCGGTCACGGGTGCATTTTCCGGTTCAGTGTGTTATGTTTACTTGGAAGTCGGTGTTTGAGAGTGTTTAGAATGACGTGCGTCCAAAAGAGGCGCCTTTCAATTTTATCTCAATGATCCTCGTTCGGAGTCTCTCGAACGAGGAAGATTCTACGTCGTCCGGCCAATCCCGTTCAAGGTCATTGGGGGCTAGGCTGCGGTTATGGAAAGGAATTGGCCGGATGACTTAGAATCTTCGACTTTGTCGTCCAAGAGACTCCGAACGCGGGGTCAACCTTAGGTCACCGATCTCGAAGTTCTGTGATGGACTCCGCGCTCGATTTCTCTCGGAGCTATAGTTTGGCCGAAAAACGAGTACAGCTATGTGTACGTGTTGTCACGCGAGACGCGACACAGCGATTGATATCGAATTCAGGTAAACCAGTAAACGAGAGAAGCCAATGATGCGAGTGGTATGTTCCTTGTGTGATTGGTGAATGACCTCGACAAATCTGTTTGCAGGCTACCAATTTTAGCATTATGACTTTTGTCGTACTCGTGTCGATCCAATTTTTTTTCTTCTTCCTCTCCTGAAGGCAGGATGTCGGGAGCCATTGTTCATAACGGTGCCGCCCGACGCGCGCGTATACCAGCCGTCCAGAACACCAGCCGCGGGTGTGACCCGCCCAGCGCCGTCTGCGCCGTCTG